CAAATAACCACGTTTTTTAGGGTTTTCACGTAACACGTGAACCAGACGTGAAAACGTGGAATAAACCACGTGAACAGGTGTATTTTCACGTGAGAAATTCATTGGTACCTTCAGATTTCCGGTATCTCTACTCTACGAGAAGTTATGGTCAAAAAACTGAAAACAACGAGTTATGACCAAATAACCACGTTTTTTAGGGTTTTCACGTAACACGTGAACCAGACGTAAGAACGTGGAATAAACCACGTGAACAGGTGTATTTTCACGTGAGAAATCCATTGGTATCCTCAGATTTCCAATATCTCTACTCTAGAAGAAGTTATGATGAAAAAACTGAAAACGACGAGATATGGCCAAATAACTACTTTTTTTAGCACTTTCACGTAAAACGTGAAACAAACAAGAAAACGTGGAATAAACCACGTAATTAGATGTACTTTCACGTGAGAAATTCATTGGTATCCTCAGATTTCCAATATCTCTACTCTGGAAGAAGTTATGATGAAAAAACTGAAAACGACGAGATATGACCAAATAACCACGTTTTTTAGCACTTTCACGTAAAACGTGAAACAAACAAGTTCTGTGACTTGGACGCTGTATTTTATGTTGAGATGACATCTGAAGTGAAAAGCGGATTTTTTCGATCCTTGATAATTGATACTGAAGAGGGCTGAAGTAATAATAGGCTGACGTACGTTAATGGTTATGCTTGTTCATTAATCACCCGTTTTATACAGTTCGTCAGCATGATTCTTTCAGCTGCGCAACTTTAGTGTTTCCGCAACCATTGCCATATGTTTTAGCTGCTTTGTTCCGTTCAAGAGACAGTCTGTGAACAGATAAAGTGTAAACAGGGGCATAGAATTATTCAATGAACTTTTTATGCCTAAGCCTAAGCCTAAACCTAAAAAATCTGATAGTTGTTCATTTCAAATGTGTTCAATCAAGACAATAAAAAATGAATGCAGTTTATTTTTGAATACTGTTAATTGTGAAGGATTTAGAAACACCAATAAGGCAATTCCTGGAAGAACTGAAGTAGCCCAATCTGTATGTTCCTTCAGGTAAGTTTGAGAACTCGCATACGTATATCCTGCGAAGAAGAGAACAAATTCACGAGATAAAAGATAACAACAAACTTTTTCTGCTGGATACACTGTTCAAAACAAGTGTATGCCCAAACCCATTTTATTGGTGCTTCAATGTTTTGAAAATCACTCTGAATATTATGCTCTAAGAGACAGATCAAAACGCAGTCATACTGGGTAAACTCCTATCCAATCGGAGTAACTTCCATGCAGTTTCCAGAAATCGTTCAAATACTCCATACGCGAAATGAAAGGAATGTTGGAGTACCAATACCGAATATGCTCGAACAGCACGTTGCAGTGGTATGGGCCAATACTGCCAATCTGTAATGTTAAATTGTTTTCGAACTGTTTTAGTATTAGAGGACATTCATTCTATAAATGCTTGCCACTGGCTTATGATCACTACATTTCACCGATTCGTTCATAGAGTAACTTATTGGAGACAGATTTGAGCCCTGAACGAACAGCTAAGGTCATCACAACGAGAAGTGTTCAACCTTATGTAGTATTCTATCGCACCAAGCTGGAAGCCGTGACCAGTTAAAGTTTGAGGACCCAATGGTATATCTATGACTATTGTTTGAAAGAAACTGAAAACTTTAAACTTATAGGAGGGTTGAAAATGTATTTCTGGCTCTGAAAATCCTTCAAGAAGATTTTTCTGTCTGCGGGCGACATTGAGTTGATCAAAGTTTTCTATATGACGAGATGATATGTATATTAGTTTTTTGTAATCACCCAGTAACTCGGGAAATGCTTTTGCATTGATCAACTTCTCAACTTTTCTTTCGTCACCATTAAGGCGAAAGTTTAGATCACCGAACCAAAAAATACTACTGAAGGAACGATTGATATGCGACTGGTGATAAGCTAGTTAAACCTCTTGTAGTCATTGAAACAACAGTACTTGTTAGAAATGCACTGTTCTATTCTCCTTAAGTTATTCTCCACACCATGACAAAGGTGGCTGTTTACAAAGACAATGCTGAGATCATTCTGGAAGAAAAGATATGACTTATAGTGTTGTTAACTCACATTCAAAGTAAGTCGTATGCTTATGGAGCCTTTGTGGCCTGTCAGTCCTTTGAGAGTATTCCTATTATATCGATAGCTTATAGAATTTATCTGAAGCTATAAATATTGTTTGGAATGCAATAGCTAGTTTACGTATAGAACAAGATTATGCTGGATGAAGACCATCAAAACATTTGTTGCTTGATATGTTTTTGTTAACATAGTCATCTGGCCCCTAATCGAAATCATTGGGGCAGCTGATTATACATTAATACCTCAGGATCATCCATTCTGTTATAAGAGAAGTCCATGATGATCCTTTCACACCAGCTGCTTCTAGATGAGGCACCTCCTAATTCAAAACTTGAAAGTAAGCCGTGAATTAATGAAACCTGCAACCCTATTGCAACAAGAGACGATTTCTGATCCAGAAAACCTTCACACAATTTTTCAACATTTTCCCATGTACAGGTTTGTAAACCAACATTATACGTTACGACAGCTACTTGCCATTCCATATATGGCTACGCTAGAGATTAGTTATCATAGAAAGCTTTATTACAGAACATTTATAGAAATACGTCGAGTATCAAACTCTTAGGTTGTGAAATGAACACATGTGAACTCATTTATAAAAATTCGATTGGCCTAAAAGCTTCTCATTGACATTTGTCTACAAAATAATAACGAGATATTTCAATAGCAACCCGTGTCACAACAAATGACCAGAAAAGAATATATATCAACCTCGCATATTGTTACTTTCCAACCTGCGATCTGCGTAACCGCTTCTTAGCAGGAGCATGATGGAGCTTTGAGCTACCTCTTTCTTCACTGAAATCATCAGATGACAGTACAGCTTCTAGTAAATCAGTAGCCAATTCATTTCTATCCTGAAACATGCAGAATGCTTAAATCGATTAAACTTCAGTAACACTTACCTTTCGTAGGTTTCTCCATTCAGGTGTTCTTATCACACTACGTAAATGTATAGTCAGAAACCGTATGACGGCCTGAAAACAAGACAACGAAATGACCTTTGTTGCAAGTGACCGCCTACTTGTTTCAGTATCATCGCAGTGAAAGTATCGGCGAATATAGCGACCGTGGTTATATTCTTTAGTGTTAGTGATTGAGATATTATTCTTTCGCATTGCTCTTTCAAAATCAAAACTTCGTATTTATCAGCTGAAAGGTATCAATGAGGATGAGGGAAGAAAAAGAAAGTTTTACCAACTGTTAGTACATCATCAACAATGTTAGAACTATCCAATGCATCCAAAGAACCAGTGTACATAAACTCGACCATGATTCGGACCTACAGAATATGTTGGTAGAATAGATATGCAAATTTGAATATCTTACGGATTCATATTTTGCATCAGGCATTTCGATCACACCATTTTGTGCTTCAAGCATCGAGTCGTTTAAAAACATCGAACGAAAGACTGGCGAATGCTGTCCAAGAACGCAACGATGAGCTTTAATCAGTTTCGTTCCTATCTGAAATTACAGAAAGTTGCACACACCCCTCTGGGGGGGGGATCACCTTAATGCTGCAATCCGAAAAAATTTCTTTCTCCCACATTTCCTTATTATTTCCCCTAATAAACACTTCGGCTTTTTCATCACTGTCCTCATACAAAGAGTCCTCGTCGTCAGCGGACTCGACCGATATCTTGGAACCGGGAGGAAAATATTCGACCTAGGAATGTTTATCAAGTTGAAAGATTGTAAGCTTCTGTTACTTCACAAAATAATATTAGAGATCCATCGGATCTTAGAGCTGCAATCATCTTATCACGCGCTACCTTAACGTTCAGTTTAGAGGAAAAAGCTGAGAACTGTAAATACCTGGAACTTTCCTCTCCCCTGTTGATTAGTGAAATCCTTGGTATCTCGACAAACGCTCACTCTAGCTCCATTACCGTCCAAAGCATATATTTGGAACTCGGTCATAATTGGCTCCTCGCCTCGCTGAGTATTGATCAATGCAGACAATAATTTAAAAGGCGCTGATACCTGCAGTCCAACTTGTCGGAGGAAGAAAGAAACGTTATTACTATCTTCTTCACGTTTTCCATTGGGATAAACATGTAACTCCCAGCAGACTGAGGGAACCTTAATGAATGAATGAAGATACACAATTGCTAAAGGAGTGAAACTACTTGAGGAACTCCGAATTGTTTACTTATCAAATTCTGCCCGTTTTTGAACAGTTTCATTAGTTTTTCAAACTGAAAATGAATCATTTTACTATGTTTATATATATTTAGAAATTGCCTGATCAATTTTCCATTCCAGCTTTGTTGTTATTGCGGTAACTTTAGTCGCCTGCTTGGAAACGACTTCTAATGTTCGCGATAGACCAGGAGCTTCTTCACCTTAATTGAATTGTAGAAGGGATGACTGAATAATAATAAACTACTTCGTGTATAGGGTCTGGGTGTACCAGGAGTCATTTGACTAGAGTTCCGACTAAGCATTATGCATTTATTTAATATTAAACTTATAATTATATTCAATATCTAATATGAGAGCTGCAAAAAAGAGGAAGCCTGAAACGTATCAAGAACTGCTTAAAAAAGTGAAAGCTTGATTTGAAAGTAAACAGAGAAAGAATGTGAACAGTATTATACTTTGAAAAAAATAATTCGTTCATAAGAACAAAAAGTGCAATTCAAACGCATGAAAATTGCTGATCGTTGCGGTCAGCTGTTCATGCTAAATAATGTTTGAACTGCCGCGCTTGGCCCACCTGCACATCTTAGCTACTGGCTCGAAGCCAAATTTCGAATGCTATTCAAATCTTTCAAATTTCTTCTTATAATAATATAAAGTAATGTGTTGGATATTATAAAATTCCCTTTATAGCTTAGAAATTGTTGATTGTGATTGATTTTCAGATAATACGTTGGGAATTAATCATTGAAAATGGAAGTGGATGAGGTGGCGCTTAGAGTTCCCTTGAGTAAATACGAAATGACTGATTTACAGGGGCCAGGAGTGCAATCCATTCCGCAAAATGTCTTAGAAGAAAAAGCCCGTAAATGGAAGCAGCTCCAATCCAAAAGATATGCTGAAAAGCGTAAATTCGGAGTTATCGATAATCAGAAGGAGGAAATGCCTCCAGGTGTGGAAGACAAGATTTCCAAAATAAGCAAAAATTTCAGAGCATGTTCGAAAGATCATTCGTGATCATGGAGACATGAGCTCTAGGAAATACCGTCATGATAAGCGTGTATATCTGGGTGCTTTGAAATACATGCCCCATGCCGTATTGAAGTTGTTAGAAAATATGCCTATGCCATGGGAACAAATCAGAGATGTTAAAGTGAGCTATGAATCATAAACTTAATTTTAACGAACCTTCATACAGGCACTTTATCACATCACTGGTGCGATCACTTTTGTGAATGACATTCCTCGTGTTATTGAACCTGTATATATTGCTCAATGGGGAACAATGTGGATCATGATGAGAAGAGAAAAGCGTGATCGTAGGCATTTCAAGGTTTGGAAGATTACGCCTATCTGAGTAACTTTGAGTTTTCAGAGAATGCGCTTTCCACCCTTTGATGATGAAGAACCCCCATTGGATTACGCTGATAATATCTTAGATGTAGAGCCTCTAGAGCCTATAAAAATGGATTTGGATGATGTTGAAGATCACTCTGTAGTGGAATGGTTCTATGATCACAAACCTTTAGCTAGCACTAGGTTGTTCCGTCACCCAGTAATTTCATAACCCTTCAATTTACAGATTTGTGAATGGAGAGACCTATAGAAAATGGGCATTCAGTATCCCCATGATGTCTAATCTGTACAGATTAGCCAATCAATTGTTATCAGACTTACCGGATGAGAATTACTTTTATTTATTCGATCTCAAGTCTTTCTTCACCGCCAAAGCCTTGAATATTGCCATTCCAGGAGGTCCAAAGTTTGAACCTTTGGTTAAAGATGTTAATCAGTAAGTAAAATTCTTTGTTGTTGGAATTAATTGGTTTTGTAGTGATGAAGACTGGAATGAGTTCAACGATATCAACAAAGTTATCATTCGTGCCCCTATTCGTACCGAATATAGAATCGCGTTCCCATTCATGTATAATAATTTGGTGAATTCTCTCCCTGTGCAAGTATCTTGGTCAGTTACATTTCATCTTATTCTGTTCATGTTCTGTTGCTTATAGGTATCATTTCCCCTCGGTCGTATATATCAAAACTGAAGATCCCGATTTACCAGCGTTTTACTTTGATCCTATTATTAATCCCATATCCGTTAGTTCTCTAGCTAGGGTGAGTTCTTTTTTTCTTTTTTTTTCTATTTTCCATATTTGGACTTCATTACTAACGAAAATTTGTTTTTCTTTATTTACAAATTTTTTTATTTTGTCCTATACTGATACATTGAAGGCGCAGGCAAAATTGAAGCGACCATTTTCACTGAGATTTGACATGTAACATTCTGTTTTCAGACTGAAGAAATTTTGCCAGAAGATGAAGAACTCGATTCCTGGGAGTTACCTGACACTGTCACGCCAATCTTCACGGAAGTGAATTCTTACTATAATACGATTGTGAAATTTTCAACTTAGGTCCCGTTATACACGGACAATACTGGTAACGGAATCGCTTTGCTGTGGGCTCCAAGACCTTTCAACATGCGCTCTGGAAGGACCCGCAGAGCTATCGACGTACCGCTTGTTAAGGCTTGGTACAGAGAGCATTGTCCAGCAGGTATGTGCAGACGAATTTTAGTTTTTATATATTATTGTTCAGGAATGCCTGTCAAAGTTCGTGTCTCATATCAAAAACTTCTGAAGGTATTCGTTCTGAACGCTCTGAAGCATAGACCACCAAAACCACAGAAGAGAAGGTATAGGTCACAATTTTGAAGTTGTTATGTTGATGATTATTAGATATCTGTTCCGCTCTTTCAAATCAACCAAGTTCTTCCAAACAACCACTCTTGATTGGGTTGAAGCCGGACTTCAAGTTCTTAGACAAGGTTACAACATGTTGAATCTACTTATTCATCGTAAGAACTTGAACTATCTTCACTTGGATTACAATTTCAATCTCAAGGTATGCTTTCGGTTCAGTTAACCAAAGTTAATTTTATCATTATTAGCCTGTGAAAACACTTACCACCAAAGAAAGAAAGAAGTCTAGATTCGGTAACGCTTTCCATTTGTGTCGTGAAATTCTTCGATTAACTAAATTGGTTGTTGATGCACACGTTCAATACAGGTATGCTCACTATTCCTCCATTTTTTTATTGTCTTCTGTAATAGATTGAATAACGTTGACGCGTACCAGCTTGCTGATGGCTTGCAATACATCTTTTCTCACGTCGGTCAACTGACTGGAATGTACAGATACAAATATAAGCTGATGAGACAGGTAACTGGGTTACTTTAACATTTCTTATATGTTTAATGTTCAGGTCCGAATGTGCAAAGACTTGAAGCATGTGATCTATTATCGTTTCAATACTGGGCCAGTCGGTAAAGGTCCAGGTTGCGGTATCTGGGCTCCTGGTTGGAGAGTTTGGCTCTTCTTCTTGAGAGGAATCACACCTTTACTGGAGAGATGGTTAGGAAATTTGTTGTCCAGACAGTTCGAAGGAAGACACTCTAAGGGAGTTGCTAAGACTGTTACTAAGCAGAGAGTTGAATCGCATTTCGATCTTGAATTGAGGTTAGTTCATATATTAATCTGTTTTTTACTTATTCTATCCAGAGCTGCCGTCATGCACGATATTCTTGATATGATGCCTGAGGGTATCAAGCAGAATAAGGCTAGAGTCATTTTGCAGCATTTGAGTGAAGCTTGGAGATGTTGGAAGGCTAATATTCCTTGGAAGGTATGTAGTTGGAATAGTTTCAATAATACTTAAAATTATTTAAGGTACCTGGTCTACCAACTCCGGTAGAAAACATGATTCTCAGATACGTTAAAGCTAAGGCTGATTGGTGGACTAACTCTGCTCATTACAATCGTGAAAGAGTACGCAGAGGAGCAACAGTTGACAAAACTGTTTGTAAGAAAAATTTGGGTAGATTGACTCGTTTGTATCTCAAGGTTCGAATAGATTTTATGTTTGTTGTCACATAGTTCATTTAGTCCGAACAAGAAAGACAGCACAATTACTTGAAAGACGGTCCGTATGTATCTGCTGAAGAAGCTGTTGCCATCTATACAACTACTGTTCATTGGCTGGAATCACGTAGATTCTCACCTATTCCTTTCCCTCCCTTGTCATACAAGCACGATACTAAACTTCTTATCTTGGTTTGTATCAATTGAATACGTTAGCATGGTTAAGTAATTATAGGCTCTTGAACGTCTGAAAGAGGCTTACAGTGTTAAGAATCGGCTCAACCAGTCTCAGAGAGAAGAGTTGGCTTTGATTGAACAAGCTTATGACAATCCTCATGAGGCTCTTTCACGTATCAAAAGACATATGCTTACTCAGAGAGCTTTCAAGGTAAAAACTAAGATGAAAATTTGTTTGAAAGAGTTGTTAAGGAAGTCGGAATTGAGTTCATGGATTTGTATACTCATTTGATCCCTGTTTATGACATTGAACCCTTGGAAAAAGTGACTGATGCTTACCTCGATCAATACTTGTGGTACGAAGCTGATAAGAGACGGTATCGCTACTTTGAGTTAGTTTATGCTATTGAATTTCTTTTAGACTTTTCCCTGCTTGGGTAAAACCAGCTGATACGGAGCCACCTCCATTGTTAGTTTATAAGTGGTGTCAAGGTGTTAATAATTTGCAAGATGTTTGGGGAACCAATGATGGTTGGTTTTTGTTCAAAGAAATAATTTTAATTGAGACTCATTTCTAGGAGAATGCAATGTTGTACTGGAATCCAAATTGGAGAAAGTTGCCGAGAAGATGGATCTTACTCTATTGAACAGATTGCTCAGGTGAGGTTATTTTATAGGCATTTTTTCAATGTTTCATTCTTAGACTTATCGTTGATCACAATATTGCTGATTATATGACTGCTAAAAACAACGTTCTTATTAATTATAAGGATATGAACCACACAAACTCTTTCGGTATCATCCGTGGTTTGCAGTTCGCTTCTTTCATTGTTCAAGTTAGTACATGCCTCTTTCATCGTATCTTATTCCTCATGTTCAGTATTACGGACTCGTTTTGGATCTGTTAGTTCTTGGTTTGAGAAGAGCTGCGGAACTTGCTGGACCTCCTCAGTGTCCAAATGAGTTTTTGACTTTCCAGGTTTCTTTGTTTGAAAGCCTCATCTGAATGTTTTTTGTTTTAGGATATTGCGACTGAAACTGCTCATCCTATTCGCTTGTACTGCAGATACATGGATCGTGTATGGATTATGTTCAGGTGAGTATTTTCTCGCACATAGCTACCTCACTTGTTCTTTTATAGATTCCAAGCTGATGAAGCCCGAGATCTCATTCAACGCTATCTTACCGAGCATCCTGATCCAAACAACGAGAACATTGTTGGTTATAACAACAAGAAGTGCTGGCCTAGAGATGCAAGAATGAGACTAATGAAGCATGACGTCAATCTTGGAAGAGCCGTATTCTGGGATATTAAGGTATTGTGAATTCACTTTGGTTTCTCAAATAAACTACGTTCAGAATCGTCTGCCAAGATCTATTACCACAATCGAATGGGAAGGTTCATTCGTATCTGTTTACAGCAAGGACAATCCAAACTTGCTGTTCGATATGGCAGGGTTCGAATGTCGTATTCTTCCTAAATGCAGAACTTCTAATGAAGAAATCACAAATAGAGATGGTGTCTGGAACTTACAGAATGAAGTATATTTGGCATAAAGTTTCCAGCTAATATACTTCTTGCAGGTTACGAAGGAAAGAACTGCTCAGTGTTTCTTGAAGGTCGACGAAGATTCAATGTCAAAGTTCCACAACAGAATTCGACAAATCTTGATGTCTTCTGGATCTACAACATTTACTAAGATTGTTAATAAGTGGAATACAGCTCTCATTGGGTTGATGACCTATTTCCGGTTCGCATACATTTCCAGAATTTTTTAAACTGTTGATATTCAGTGAAGCAGTAGTCAACACTCAAGAACTGTTGGATCTTCTCGTCAAATGTGAGAACAAAATTCAAACAAGAATCAAGATAGGGTTGAATTCAAAAATGCCTGCTAGATTCCCCCCTGTCGTTTTTTACACCCCTAAGGAAATCGGTGGATTAGGTAAGCATTGATTCGATTCTTTTAAACAGATCCATTTCTTTCTAGGAATGTTATCTATGGGACATGTTCTCATCCCTCAGTCCGATCTTAGATGGATGCAACAAACAGATGCTGGTGGAATTACACATTTCCGTTCAGGAATGACACATGATGAAGATCAGCTTATTCCTAATTTGTACAGATACATTCAAGTAGCAATCAGATTTTTTTTCCTTTTCTTATATCTTTTTTTTTCAGCCTTGGGAAGCCGAATTTATTGACTCTCAAAGAGTTTGGGCTGAGTATGCTTTGAAGAGACAAGAAGCTAATGCTCAGAATAGAAGATTGACTCTTGAAGATTTGGATGACTCGTGGGATAGAGGAATCCCTCGTATCAACACTCTCTTCCAAAAGGATCGTCACACTTTGGCTTACGATAAGGGGTGGAGAGTTCGAACAGAATTCAAGGCTTATCAAATCTTGAAACAAAATCCATTCTGGTGGACTCATCAACGTCACGACGGAAAGTTGTGGAATCTCAATAACTATCGTACCGATATGATTCAAGCTCTTGGTGGTGTAGAAGGAATTCTTGAGCACACCCTGTTCCGAGTACCGTGTCTTCTTATTTTAAATATTTCATGTTTTTGTTTCAGGGAACCTATTTCCCCACATGGGAAGGATTGTTCTGGGAGAGAGCATCAGGATTCGAAGAGTCTATGAAGTTCAAGAAATTGACTAACGCTCAGAGATCTGGTTTGAATCAAATTCCTAACAGAAGATTCACTCTCTGGTGGTCGCCTACAATCAACAGAGCTAACGTATATAGAAAACAAAAATTCTTGACTGAGATATCTTCATTTAGGTATACGTTGGTTTCCAAGTACAGTTGGATTTGACTGGTATTTTCATGCATGGTAAAATCCCTACATTGAAAATTTCGTTGATTCAAATCTTCCGTGCCCATTTATGGCAGAAGATCCACGAGTCTGTTGTTATGGATCTTTGTCAAGTACGTTTTTTTTGTCTATTCAGTGTTGACTGTCGTTTCTAAAGGTTTTCGATCAAGAGTTGGATGCTTTGGAGATCCAAACAGTCCAGAAAGAAACAATCCATCCAAGGAAGTCTTATAAGATGAACAGTTCTTGTGCTGATATCTTGCTTTTCGCTCAGTACAAGTGGAATGTTTCAAGACCATCTTTGATGGCAGACAGCAAGTAAGCCTTTTCTTTTGAGTATGAATATATTATTGTTCACCAAAGGGACGTCATGGACAATACTACTACACAAAAGTACTGGTTGGATGTACAGCTTCGTTGGGGAGATTACGATTCTCACGACATTGAAAGATATGCTCGTGCTAAATTCTTAGACTACACAACTGATAATATGTCAATCTATCCTTCACCTACGGGATTGCTCATTGCTATGGATCTGGCATATAATCTCTACAGGTAGTAATGCTCATAGATACCTTTGAACGGTCAATGATTTAGTGCTTATGGTAATTGGTTCCCTGGAATGAAGCCATTGATTCGTCAGGCTATGGCTAAGATTATCAAAGCCAATCCTGCCTTTTATGTATTACGTGAAAGAATTAGAAAGGGATTGCAGCTCTACAGTTCTGAACCAACTGAACCTTATCTTACTAGTCAAAACTACGGAGAGTTGTTCAGTAACCAAATCATCTGGTGGGTCTTTTGATTTATTATTATTAATTTTGGTGTTTAGGTTCGTGGATGACACAAATGTGTACAGAGTAACCATCCACAAAACGTTTGAAGGAAACTTGACAACTAAGCCCATTAACGGAGCTATTTTCATTTTCAATCCTCGAACAGGACAGCTTTTCTTGAAGATCATTCATACATCTGTATGGGCCGGTCAAAAACGTTTGAGTCAGGTAAAACAGGCTTTTTTAGAAAAATGGAATCTAAGTTGTTTTTTCTTTAGTTGGCTAAATGGAAAACAGCTGAAGAAGTAGCTGCTTTGATTAGATCTCTCCCAGTTGAAGAACAACCTCGACAAATTATTGTAACCAGAAAGGCTATGTTGGATCCTCTCGAAGTCCATCTTCTTGATTTCCCCAACATTGTCATCAAGGGATCTGAATTGATGTTGCCATTCCAAGCTATCATGAAGGTTTGAAACAACAACAAATAGGTGTTCAGAATCTTCTGATGTTCAGGTAGAGAAGTTCGGAGATCTCATTTTGAAAGCTACTGAGCCCCAAATGGTGTTGTTCAACCTGTACGATGATTGGCTGAAGGTTGGATTCTGTTTAACTTCTCCTAATATTATTTTTTTTCTAGACAATCTCCAGTTATACAGCGTTCTCAAGAGTTATTCTCATCATGAGAGGTATGCATATTAATCCTGATAAAACTAAGGTGAGGTTTTATATAACTCTTGTGTATACTTTTTTTACTTGTCCAGGTAATATTGAAACCCGATAAAACTACCACAACTGAGCCTCATCATATCTGGCCTACATTGAAAGATGAAGATTGGATTAAAGTAGAGTTATCCCTCAAGGATATGATCTTGGCTGATTACGGAAAGAAGAATAACGTGAATGTTGCTTCTCTGACGCAATCAGAAGTCCGTGATATCATTCTTGGTATGGAGATCAGTGCTCCTAGTCAACAACGTCAGCAAATTGCTGACATTGAAAAACAAACTAAAGAACAGAGCCAGGTAAAGCTAAAAGTTGTACATATTTAGTTTTCCATGTTTTAGGTGACGGCTACTACAACCAGAACAGTAAACAAACATGGTGACGAAATTATCACCGCTACCACGTCTAACTATGAAACACAAACCTTTGCTAGTCGAACTGAGTGGCGCGTAAGAGCTATTTCAGCTACCAATCTCCATTTGAGGTATGACGAAACCTTAACGGCGTTTGTATAACGTACACTTGCAGAACTCAACATATTTATGTAAATTCGGATGATGTGAAAGAGTCTGGGTACACTTACATTTTACCCAAGAATGTGTTGAAAAAATTCATAACAATTTCTGATCTTCGTACACAGGTTTCATTAAATTTTGGATTCTAGTTAAGGGCTTGTTCAGATTGGTGGATTTATGTATGGAGTTTCTCCAGCTGATAACCCACAAGTTAAAGAAATTCGGTGCATTGTCCTGGTACCTCAAACCGGTAATCATCAACAAGTTCAACTGCCCGGTCAACTCCCACAACATGAGCTTTTGAATGATCTAGAACCACTTGGATGGTATGCTTACATCCTTATTTATTTCAGTGTTTACTTTTGTTTCAGGATTCATACCCAACCAAATGAGTTACCCCAACTTTCTCCTCAGGATGTTACTGCACATGCTAAGATTTTAACTGAAAACTCATCTTGGGACGGAGAAAAAACTGTCATCATCACATGCAGGTAAAACAAATTATTCTTTACTCTCATTTTGCTGATCTCGTTTCAGTTTCACTCCTGGCTCAGTATCTTTGACAGCATACAAGCTTACACCCTCTGGATACGAATGGGGCAGAGCTAACACAGATAGAGGAAATAATCCTAAGGTTCGTTCATCAAGATTCGAGTGTTCATATGTTCTTTTTTTCAGGGATATATGCCCACACATTACGAAAAAGTACAAATGCTGCTTTCTGATAGGTTCCTTGGATACTTCATGGTTCCAAGTAACGGTGTTTGGAATTACAACTTCCAAGGTTAGTATAGTATTATGACAGTTTCATGATTAGCATTATGCAGGTCAACGATGGGCTACTTCAATGAAATATGACATTGCATTGGCGAACCCGAAAGAATATTATCATGAGGATCATAGACCCGTACACTTCCATAATTTCAAATCTTTTGATGATCCGTTGGGTATTGCTATGGCAGATCGTGAGGATAGTTTCTCATGATCTCCCAATAACTAATTCACATTGTTGTTAATTTGCGATCTTAATCTTTACTTGTTACGTGTTGTGTTTAAAGTAAATTGTTCATAATGCAAACCTCTGTTCTTTCGTTCATGTATTGGTTGATGTACCTAATACTTTGTCGGAGCGTTAAGTTTTCAACTAAATTGTTTGGTTCAAGTATGTCCCACTCGAGAAAAGGATGAATGGTAATGCTAGCAGTTACCCAAAACGGAGGGTTGGGATTTTGTGCTGTTCTCTCATTCTAAGCGTTTTATAGGTTTCTTTTGTAATAAGGGATGAACATGAAAAGAAGCACAGATCAGCTGTAGCTGCATTACAGTTTGATGTCAACACCAACAGGTTATTCTCCGCCGGAAGTGACACAATCATTAGGATATGGAAGGTCGGAAATAACGATAGTGCTTCGTTCAAAAGCCCATCAGATGATGCGGCAAGTAGCTCTGTAAGCTTTGTTCAAACGATGGAACATCATACTGATTGGGTTAATGATGTAATTTTATGTTGTGGAGGGAAATACTGTGAGATTAAACGAATTTTCCATTTATATACTTCTCATACAGTGCTCTCGGCATCGAACGACTCAACGGTGAAAGTTTGGAATGCTTCCAAGCACTTTTGTATGTCCACTTTACGAACACATAAGGTAATTAGATGGAAGAATACATAGTTCTGTATGTTTACAGGATTATGTGAGTTGTATGGCGTACGCTAAAGAACTGGAAAAAGCAGCTAGCGCTGGATTCGATCAGTCTATTTATTTATGGGACATTGAAACTTTAACGAAGTTAACATGTATCAATAACACTGTAACAAGTACGACCATTTTTTCTGTTTCCTAACAAACTAGATGTTCAGCTTCGTCATTGAATGGTAGTAAAGATAGTATTTATTCGTTGTCTATGAATGACATGGGATCTCTTATTGCTTCCGGTTCGACGGAAAAAGTCATACGGTTGTGGGACACCAGGTCTTGTCAGAAAGTGATGAAGCTAAGGGGTCACATTGACAACATTCGAGCTCTTATTATAAGTCCCGATGGAACCAAGGTTGGACTGTTGAGTATTCGAATGAAATATACTTGTTTGATTTTAGTGTGTTTCTGCAAGTAGTGATGCGACAGTAAGATTGTGGGACTTAGGCCAACAGCGTTGCATTGCTACCTGTTTAGCTCATCAAGAAGGCGTTTGGACATTACAGGTTGTTTACGAACTATATCAGAATTCACAACTAATATTTCAGTCGGATGCAATGTTCAACTACATTTACAGTGGAGGTCGGGACAAAAAAGTTTATCGTACTAATGTGAGCGACTTCTCACAGAGCTCTCTTGTGCTCGAAGAAGACGCGCCTATAAAAAAGGTTATCGAGCCTTGGGTTTACGGCCAATATATGCAAAGTTTCAGATTCTTATCGAGAATCCTAGCAATCCTACTTCTTTGTGGACTTCGACATGGAGCTCAAATATAAAGAGGTATTTTGAATTTTGAAAAGTGAGCTTACTTGGGATTAAGATGGAACATTTCTGAAACAAATTCTAATATAAACGATATTGCTTATGACTATGAAGGCAGAGAGAATATCGTTCCAGAGCTGGTCATTCCAGGTTTTCATTTCCTATTTGCGTGTGGATTAATCTAACTAACTAAGGTGCTCCATCTATAAAGTATCACGTCGTACTCAACGATAAAAGGCATGTAGTGACCAAGGATTCTGAAGGCTGTGTCGCATTATATGATGTATTGGGAGGACGAAAAGTAGCTGAATATGGAAGTAGGCCCATTGAAGAAGTTGTTCGCGAACATTTTCGGAAAGTTTTCGTTCCTAGCTGGTTTACTGTAGACTTCAAAAGCGGGGTTGGTGCATTGACTAGATGAAGCAAAAGATTCCAACTTTAGATGCTCCAAATAACATTGGACGAATCTGACGTTTTCTCTGCGTGGTTGTCAGCCAAAGATGCCGGTGTTGAAGATTCTGACACGAAAAGTGATTTGACAGTCATGTCACATTTATAGTTCAGCTTTTAGTCAACTACGGAGGAATGATGCTGAGATCACTCTTTGAGCGATGGCCGAAGTGTGACATGGGAATCGATGGCTCTGAAACAAGTATAGCAACTGCTGATTATTTACCTGTTCCTGAACACACCCCTCTGATCATATGGTTTTTTTACTCAAGATTGCCTCAGTTAATGTTTATTTCTAGTGAGTCCAACGGTAGACCACTGTTCCGGTTGCTCATAAAAGATGCGATAAATGAAACGGAGTCATCTCTTCTCGCTGAATATGTACCAACCTGGGTAACCGACGTCGTTGAAAGGAATTTGTTACCAAAGTTCAACAAAATGCCGTTCTTTTTACTACCTCATCCTAGCACTAATTCCAAAACTCCAAAAAAGTTTAATCGGAATGCGAATGATAGCATAATAAACGGTTTTTCAGAGAACGTTTATCTGCGACTGAAATGCTTCAAGTGAAAAAAGTCATGGAACATGTGTTTGAAAAAATATTGAATGCGGAGAACCCATTGTCCCCGGATAGGACAATATCCGATCCAATTCCTTCTGACTTAGATCAGCGACTAGAGCTTTACTGCAACGATCAGGTTTCCTAACTTATCCGAAAATAACTGAACTGACTATAATTGCAGAAGCTAGATCCCGATATGGATCTTCGAACTGTAAAACATTTCATTTGGAAGCAGGGTGGAGATTTGTTAATACATTATAAAGCTATTAAGTTCAACTAATCACATGTAAATTGTAAATATTTGAAATTTAAATTAGCATATTTGCTATCATTGTAAATATTATGGCCATTCCCTGTTCTATTTTTTACTCAAGCTGTAGCAGTCAAGCAATCACTACAAGAAACCACCTGCATGATTCCTCATTCTAATAAATTAAAAAGTGTTTACGAGAATCATGATATGACATGTGGGCTCCAACTTAGTATGCGATCATTTTGGATTTCTTAGATAGACTTGCAAATCGCAAAATCGCCAAACTGAACACTACAGATATGAATAAAAATTAAATGAATTCACTGTTCTTAGGACATGGTCATACATTCCAGCTTCAAGTCATGCTTTTCATTACGCTTGTAACTCATGAGTTACCGGTGGTGCGACACAATGTTACATCATCGGTGTGAATCGACCGAGGCTGATCATACTGACTACACACTACAAGTTGCATGAGTTTCATGAGATGATGCAATAGTACCGGCGAGAGAGTTTTGACGAAGTGGATAAAATGAGTTTTTCGAAGTTACGATGGATGATGCAATAATTTTTCTCAAAAAAACTGTAAGATTCCATTTTTGAGAGTTGCAGTGGATGATGCAATCTATTTTCTATAAATTTGGTAAGTTTCCATTTATGAAGATTGCAATGCATGATGCAATACCATTTTTCTCACTCAGATCCTCTGTGTGACTTGAAGCTGCTTAGGATGATAAATACCTGTGCTTTGGAGGATTTTCGCTTATCTTTCATTCCACGTTTGCCTTGATTATAACATAGCCGTCTTGTTCATGTGATCGTTTTGTTTTCCCCTCATGAAATCGGTTTTACACTTGATTTTGACCGTTTTCATTGATTTCATACTTTTTTGTTTTTGTTTACTGGCTGTGATCAGATATTTCTCAATTATTACAGGAAAGCACGGAACGTCAAGCTTCCTTTTCATCTTTATTTTTCTTCAAATGAAGCGCAACAATTTCAAAAACCGACATCCAATCTCATACCAAAAATGAAAAATTTTATAATCCCCAAATTTCAGAAGACGACTCTTTTTCTTGAATTAAAACACCAAGATGAGGTGAATACTTCACGAATTCAGAAAGACGTCATGTCAGATTTGCAATCAAATGACATATATCCATCGTTAATAGAAAATTTTTCATTTTTCGATGGGAATGAAATAGAAATTGATCTTCGATAAGGTATATACATCTTAAACACAACAGAAAACTCTACGTACCACTACCACTAATTCCATAACACTGATTTCACAAGGAACGGAAAGAAAACTGCTCGGCTCCGCCCTTTCGAAAGTATAGAGATCTAACTACAAATGTATGAAAGTGAACATATATTTCTACTATCATCTATTTTTGTCGAGGGGGCCTTAATGAAATGTGGGAATTGAATTCAGAAAGTAAGCGCTGTTGAGAACAAACAACCTTATGAAAAGTGATCTCTCACAGCTTTGAACTTCCATTTTGATGGTTTTTGTTAAAACAGCTCGTGATGTCTAAGGTATCTGTGTATTATTGACATGTTTGTTGCTGGTCAGCTGAGTGGAGGCGCTGTTGTGAGCGTATGTTGGAAGTTCTATCTCTTGTGGAACAATTTGAGTTGATCTTTCTCTATTCTGATACTGGTCAAATTATTGTTCCTAAATGATAGAGAAGTTTGATGTCTCTCTCACGTCGTATCAGGAGGTGAATAGAGCTTCAGTCTTCCCACATTTTGTTTTTGACTCATAAGCACATGAATGGATTAATATGAGATTAAGAGAGGAAAAGAGCATTGAACGAGTTCATAAAATTTCATTAACAAATTACAAATATATATGCTTATCATTATACTAACAAAAAAGTCAGTTTTTGATAACATTTTTAGAAAAGTACCAATATTTACCCGTAGCATTAGCTGTTGTTAGTAAGCATGAGAATGTGTCATAGCTTTAGAAAGCTGTTCCTCAATAAAAGCAACTAATTTTTGTACATCATGAAGCGTAGAGATAAACAGTTCATCCTGAGGAAGCACCCTTATAAAGAACGGACTTTTCAGTAACTATTGTGCAGCCATTACTACAAATAGTGTTAATACGGCCCTGTACAATGCTTTATCCTCTTTTTCGGGGGTTGAGTCAGAATTATGGGAGGAGTTTGTTGCGTAGCTAGGGCTCGAAATACTTCAGCTAGCAAAGGCGGATGCTCTTTCACCAAATCTTTCCATCCATCAGAATTCATTACCTTCAAGCAATTAACAGTGAGCGAATGAAGTATTTTGACTTACATCAGTAGCATTTACATTAATATAATTAATAGCATGATTTCTCAGTTGTTCAGCATTGTACAGATCAGCTAGAACTAACGTGACGCAAGCATTGTCGGCAGTTAAAGCTGAGCATAGAGATTGTTCACACATGACCTTAATGTACGAATAAGAGAAAGTCTAAGCTGTTAGACAAAACCTTCAAACGATCCAATTGATATTTATCAGCCGCGGCGATGAGATGTTGAGCCATTTGTTCAACATTCTGGGAGTTTCCAGTGTACATATAGTTAATCATTTCTTTCAGAACCTAGAAAAACTATAATTAAAGAAGCTTATCAGGTGGTCAAATGTACCTCTGGTTCCACATCATCGATTGTAACTTCGTTTTTCACATACTCTGACATTTTATGTTCGAACATGGCATGAAAAACTGGAGATCGGGCAGCTAATATGGCTTTGTGCACCTGCGAATTGATGTTTAGGAATTAAAAGCCAAGTAACACTCACATGGAATGTTTGTTCGGGTTGAGATTTGGCTGCAACGAGGGTACAGTCACTAAAAGTTCGATTTTCAAATAATATAGCCAAATCCTCACTCAAACGACATGATGGCACCTGTGAAGAGATAATTGGATCAGAAAAATGGGGAGCAAAAGGGTATACCTTGAATTGTGCTGCACTGGTTTGTCCAGTGACATTTATCGTCTCTGCTACAACAGAAACTTCACAGAAAATGCTCAACCTATCATCAGGTAGTAAGCCATTAGTTTCATCCAATAAAAAGTCTCGTCGTATAAATTTTTTGAATCCCCAATCTTTTCCTTGGACAAAACGATAAGCTCTTTGAGATTCCATAGCTTTAGTTTCTTCACGCTTTGCGTTAAGGATAGAAAACTTGAACTTGGCTCGTACCTAAATTTGGTTATACAGATCGATCTATGGTTAGTTCTACTCACTAGGAAACTCACTTCGTTCTTATTACATTGGACGAGTAATAAATAAAGAGAAAGATAATCTCTTGATTCCTCATCCAAACCCTTTGGATTGATTCTCAAGCACCACTTAAGCTTATCGTTGGCTCCGGCAGAGAAAGTTGATGATTTCAGAACCTGAAAATAACTTTCTGCTAATGAGTTTGTTCCCAAATGGAGAAACTACCTCTCCCATCTCCTCTCGGCAAAATGAAAAATTATTGATCGTCCACATATAATTAAACTTTATTACTTTTACCTGAAAATAGATTCGCTCATTTAGAGAAGACTAAGTAAAATTACTTGTGTATGACACCAATTTTCAGCTACTGGCATTAAAGGATCTGATGGATGACTAGCAGAGCCAGAAGGCATGGGTGAACTTGGTCTAGCGACAGGTAAGCCTTGTCCGGGACCTCCCGAAACTGATTCGTCCTGAGCTGATCCATCATCCATGGCCCAATGAGAATCTGAAGAGAAATATTTGAGGGATATATGAGCATCATCACGAAGTAATTAAATATAAAAATGAGAAATATAAAAGAAATTTCGCTCAATTTCAGCGATGAAAGACCTTTAATGTTATTTTCGTACAGAAAACCATTCAGTACCTTCTCTCTTCGTTGAGAGTAAGCAGCAAAAGCAAACAAGAATAAGACAATGTCAATGAAAAAGAAAAAATCAATCAATTCCATATAAGGGGAGATTTGGATAAACATCCCAATCCAAGAACAAATACAAGAAATGTTAAACATTTACATCCACAAAAAAATTAGCATACGTCATCCGTGAAATACGTGTCAAGCCCAAAAATTTCAATTTGCAAAGAAGTAGTAGCACGGATCGGTTGTTCAATCAAATACTGAGAAACCGTCTTCCAGAGTTGGATGTCGCAATCTCCTTGTATTTAACATGTCAAACGTTGTAATCTATGAGGATGGAATAGTATAGATGTGCTTGAATAATTGGCTAAAGCTCGGACAACGCTGTGGCTTAGCTTTTTCAAAAGCAGTTGCTACTTTCGTAGCGAAAATCTATCAATAACAACAACAGTAATTATAATAAGAAAGAGAATTCAAAAATATATTTAAACTACAGAGTGCTCTCCGAAAAACATTCTTTACAGATTCATAGACAAAACAGCGCACACAAGGATGGGCCATCGATTGATCAAAAAGAGAAAGCGTAACGATGAGACTCAGCATAAATTCGTTCAAAACATTCGTAATGTGGTAAACAACAACAACCTTCTACAAAATAGTTGAAGAGGAAGAGTTGAAGCAATGATGCGATAAGAAAGCCATGAGTAAAGGAATAATTACTAAAAATAATGAGCATTTATGGGTTATTCGGGTCTAGAATAGAAGATAGTGACTTGTGAGTGCGTCAGGACTGATCATTAAGAGTTAGAGGGTAGAAGAGTGAAAGATTGGACAACCAAAAGTTCAACATGCAAAACCCGTGCTGAAATTTTTTTTGTAATTTTACAGCTCTAAATGATCTGAATGACCACAAAAGAAATTCAATGATTTAGGAAAGTGTTGGATTTCTTAAAAAGCGCCACGTGTATGCGAAAAGAAAACAGAGCCTGACTAAAAAATTCGATGAGGCCTATTGAGGGAAAAAATGTTCGAAATATACTAAAGTACAGGACGGAAGGAGAAAGCAATACAAGCATCCTAGCATATACTTGTCGTTGTTAATCAGAGGAGAGAAAGGGAAAGGAGAAATCTCAACTAATAAACAGGGAAGTTCTTCTTCTATACACAGTAATGGTTAGTTATACTCAAGACAAACAATAAAAAACAAATCATATGATCTTTCCTTAACCTTGTGCTTCATCACATTCAGCAGAAATCTTAGGAAACACTTTACATAACAGGATATGAACATCTATGAAGATGATATCTAACTAACTTACATCACCAATGAAAAAACAAATATTATGCAAATAGAAACGGGAGAAGACGTGCCTGCCAGAATAGTTGGCCAAACGATTATGGATTCAAAGACGTGAAAGATTAAAATGAGATAATAAAGTAAAAATAAAAGAACAAAGGAACAACAATCCTTTCATGTAAAGCAAAAGTCTCCTTACTTCCAATTATTAATAAGAAAGGGAAGGCAAAAGCTGTTCCAGCTAGTCACATGCAAATAGTGTACAAAGAATCTCCTGTGAAGGTGATGAAGAAGAGTCTTGTTATGTTTAGACTTACAAGAACAAGGAGTTGTAGAGATCAGAACAAGCCACAAACAAAATTATTTTAAATAGAAACAATATTTTGTTGAAATAAAAGTATTTTTATTGTTACATTGATCGAACTAATCATTAAAAGGTTGTATTGCTGTGTCAGTCACCAGAAATTAATACTTTTAATATTTTAAAATATAAAATGGAATGAAAATAAGTGAAAAGAACAAAAATTTTCTGTTCATCCTCACCATTTGCTTATAGTTGTCTGCCCTGTTGATGGAGAATCTAGGTCGAGAGAGAAAAGCACTAGACGCATAGGATGATCAGCAGAGGCAGAGAACTAGGGTAGGATATGGGATGTGTGTCGGACACAAACAGGCTATTGAAAATTGTCAAAAGGTAGAAGAAAGATTAAGTATCATCTGAACGTTAATCTTTATGATTGTTAGGAAATTTAGGAATGTTCCTTTTCTTTGAAAATCGAATAAAGTTGGTCAGAAAAGGTGAAAGTTGCACAAGAGAAACAGACGCTGAACATTCAAAATGAGAGAAAAAAGATACTCAAGGCAAGAAAAATCGGAATTAATTGACTAATAAGAAAATATTACGGTGACTCGATAATTATAAGAATTTAGAATGAAAATTCAGATGTAAGTAGGTCTATTGGCTAAAATAGGCGTAGCCTTGGGTGGGTCGAAAGCGATCGATGTGCTGCATACAAAACTAACAATCACTAAATCTATGAAATTATTCATGAATATAGATGGAGCTCTAGTTAGTTTCATGGCTGCAGAAATTTAGTATCGATAGTGCTTCTAACGTGAGAAAAGGTGTATGAAAGGCGGGATAAACTATGTCAAATTTTGTGAAACGGATGTAGATGGATGTCCAGGCAAGAGGCAGAGTGGCTAACAATATGAGGAACGAGAGAGTAGCGGGGCAGGCCAAGGAAAATAGCATACACAAAGGCACGTGAACACACACATTTTTCAGAAGAAACGAAACAGAGAAATAGATGTGCGAGAGAGCGTGGGAGAAACAAAATGAAAGGTCTAAAGGTAGACCTAGTGACAGGAGAGGATTGTGTGTCCTTGGTAACAAGGAAGGTTGCATGGAAATTGTAATTTACTTAAATTCCCAAAATGGTACTCGCGGGCAACATAGAAAATAGTGAACCTTATTGGTCAAGAAGACAACCTTCTCGCTATTTCGTCATCGTCAAGATGAAAAGAACCCTTTGTACTAGTTCAACGTTTCGAAAACCTTTCCAAGACCAAAAAAACATCAAACGTTCTTTTGCAAATATTGGAAGAGACGAAAGTGTTCCAATATTGTTGTATAATACTTCGGTATATATGGAACTGAGTACTAATAGTAATATTATCAAGTTGAGGGGTGGGTGAACAAAGGTCGTTAGGTTAAAGATGAACTATTGATGTCAAATGGAGAAAGAGAGAGGTCTGCGAAAGGCGTGAAAAAATTTTGGTTCAAATCTCAGAACTCTTTTATATGGAGATCAACAAGGAAACAATAAAAAACGTAAATAATCAACTTCCTTTTTACCTTTATTTGTGGTCGCTTGATTATCATTGTTACTCATAATAGCTATATTTGTCAATTTTGTTATCTGTGAAAAAATATTTATGTTTAAAACTAGGAAGTATATGTTTAAGAAACTTACAGTTTTCTTCAATTTATTTTTCCACGAGAAAGGCATTGTGGACGATGGGGTAGATGAGTCGGCCAATTAAAATCTGAATTGGAAATATTTCAAATATTGCTTTCAAATCCTGATCTAACATCATGTCCATCTTCATCGTCATCAAGTTGAACAGGATCAAATCAATGATGATAGCCTGTTCTGGCTTATTACTATCTTCATATTTTATTGACCATACCTGCAAGAGAATGATCAAACTCAGAATTTTCAGAAGAAACAAAACCACCTTCGCACCAAATACTGGCTTAAAGCACAACCGCACTTCTGTGCTGACAAAGACTAACTAAAGGGCTTTTCGTTCCGGGAATAATTATCATGCTGAATGCCATTCATACCAGGCCATTAAAACTTTAGATTTTTTCATTGAACTGTTTCTTATGGAATGGTTCAATGCTTGATTCTCAAAACAGGTTCATCAGAATTCCCGAACCTTTTCTCTCGTATCAATTAATTCTTATCTGTTTTCATTCATTTCCTGTTTTCAGTTTCGAAAAATTTGGCTCTTACTAATGCAGTATGCTCATAGGCTAATAAACGCTGCTGAAAAAAATACAAATAAACTCTTATCACATGTTTTATTCTATTGCTCTGAACAACTTGGTTTTTCTAATCATTAAGTCTGACCCACTCGTAAGCGTTTCTAAACATTTTCGACCATGGAGATAATGCAATTCTTTCTTTATTTGATTGGAATCCTGGTTGATTAAGAGGATAGGAAGGCCATTGCCATGTCATGAAGGTTCTGAATGACTTCTATAACAACAAAACAACAGTTCATTACCTATCGGAGTGTGGCATCATAGCTAAGTGTCGTCCATCCTTACTACAAATCGCTGCTGTTCCTTCGATCTGAAAACGTTTGTTACTAAGAATTTTATTTCCCGTAGATCATCTCACTGATCCGTTCGGATTCCAAGGATATTCTTCGGTAACTTGGCCCTCACTATTCACATATCTGAGAGCCACGAATGGTTTGAGGGATCCATACGCCTCAGATGATTTGAACGTGAAACGACCTTAAATAAAAACAATTACGCGGAACCCTATGTTGACAGTACCTTCTCCGTGAGATGACCACAGTCCGAGTACTGATCCTTCCATATCTTTCAACATTATGGAAGGTGTTTTTTCTATCAAAACAGGGCCGAAGAAAGATTCAAAACGTCCACATGTGTTATCTTTTAAGAATACATTTGCTTCCTCCTCTAAGAACGGTAAAATTTGTAAACAAAAATAATTTACAGAATCTCACGAAATTCTCCAATCCAACCCAGTTGAGTCATTAACTGACAGCCATTGCAAACTCCAAACGAAAATGTATCTCTGCGAGAATAAAAATCTTTGAACTGGCGAGAAACATCTTCATGGTATTGGATTGTTGCCGCCCAGCCTATACAGACAGATAGTATCGAAAAAGATAATCACAAACCTCTTGCGGAACCTAGTACGTCAGCATATGAAAAACCTCCGACGAAGGCGATTCCTTTATACGGTGCAAGGGTATGCCCTTCTAATAAATCAGTCATAGCCACATCGAAAGTCTGAGAAAACGATGAGCTTACGGCCAATATATGAAGTTTTAACCTGAAAACCGGCGTAAGCGAAAGCTGCAGCCATTTCGCGATCTCCATTCGATCCTTCTTCACGAATAATTGCAATATTCGGAGCTGAGAAATAAGATTTCACATTCTTCTTGTTTTTCTTTATCTCAACCTGTAGTGAAGTAGCTCTCATCCCAAATATGGGTTTCGAAGTTGTAATCGAAATTGCAGTAGTACTTCACAAGCCGAGTACTCATCCGGTTCTATGAATCAGTTTCATTATCTGCGCGATATGTTTGGAATACCTTTCTTTCCTGTTCTAAACAAAGACTTGTCGTTTGATATGTACCTAGTCGATCACTAGTCTCTTCCCAAATTTCTCTTAGCACATTCAGAGGCTCATGAACCACAACTAAACCATTGTATTTGATTCTGACCTGCAGCAACTTAATTAAACTGGAAACATTTACATGCCAACGTGAGCATCAGGTCCATATCTAGCTTCAGTATAGCCGATAACTACAGGTGAAGCTCCTCCTCTTTTCAAACATTCTATTGCCTCATTGACATCAGCATTATCAACCGCAATAACTACTCCTGATTCTTCGGCGAAAAAAAATTGCAAAATATCTTAAGGAGAAATTAATGGTTTCAATTATTATTCGAACCTGTTTCACTGCTAGCAGAGCATTCTAATTGGATATTACTGGAGAAGGCTATTTCAAGCAAACATGTTATTAATCCGCCATCCGAGATGTCGTGACCTGAATAACAAACTGTATTCAAATCGACAGATGACAGCATAAAATCATTTTTTTGTGGAGACTGCGCAGAGAGGAGATTTTGTTTTCCCTCCTCCTCCCTATTTACCTGCTTGCACAGTTCCATTTTTTATCAAATGCTGTATCATGTTGAATATTTGAACAAATGAAGTGAAGTCATCCACATCCGGACAGTTGTTCCCAATCTGAATGATATGTTGATGAACAAGAGTTTTTGTATACAACCTGTCCGAAACATTGAGCCAAAGCGCTTCCTCCAAGTCTGTTGAAGGCTGAACTCCCATCCATCCGTATATGGATGAGTGTCATATCACCGGTTACTACTGGTGTAACAACCTTATTGATGTCTGTACAACCAACGTATGCTGATAGAACAATTGTCCCTGGAGCCTGAACCCTCACAATCAACGCTATTCTCATTTAATTTTTTTACTTTGACTAGTTCGTCATCAACTCGTGCAGCCATACTTAAGGAATCTTTTCCTCCGTCAATAGCACATCCAATTTCTTTCAAGCCCTTAAAGTTCATTAATTGTTGTTTATGAGGGATTTCTTACTGTGCATAGGGATGTGCAGGCTCTGACCAGACGAGCTCCCTCACCTTCGCACTTTGCAGCCCACATCCAATTTCCTGACATTTTTATATCCTTAATGCCGAAACAACATTCGTTTTTAATTTATTTTCTTTTGCTACCTTTATGTCTGTTATAGGAGCAAACACTAAATTGGTCAGACATTCTGCTATTGTCATACGAGCCCCAGCTTCGGGGTTAACAAGACCCTTAATAGGCTGTTCTCCTACAGAAACAGCTGCTCCAACCTAAAATTCATGTATATTCGCCATCCCCGTTGTATATTTCAGAAACAAAGCTGTCAGCGAAAATAAAGCAAGGCTAACATTCCGCATTATCTCTCGTGCACCCATGCTTACTTCCTAGATTCTCAAGGGGATTGAGGGCAGAAGTTAGTATGAAGTGATGACAGATAGTGAAAGAATAGCGTTGAAAATAAGAATCGCATACAATTGTTTCTTTACAAATAAATTGTCTGTAGAATTGAATGTTCAAGGAAGCTCCCCTCTCTCCATCATCCATTCAAGCAACTGAGCTATTCATGAAATATGCATCGTTATCTTTTCCTCCAAAAGGCACATGCGTTAGCATACACTTCAATAGAAGATCATTAAAGCAATCTGCTTTTGCCATTTAGAGTTATGACATCTTTAGTTGTGCTTTCGGTTATTCCGAAACCTCACTGAATCATAGTTTTATTGCTTTATATCTTCTCATTGGAACTAAACGTAGTATATGGAAGACCTTACTTCTCTACCTAAGTAATATCATTTGACAACTATAGTGTTGTCGCAAACACACATCATATCAACACAATTCCCTCATCATCATCTTCCCCACTTTTTCAAAACAGATGAATGGAGGCAGATACCACAAGGAATCAACAAAGCCGCATATCGACATAGATTCGGATGCTTCTGAATAACATTCCTACCACATACAACATAACACAAACCATCAGCTACACGTCCTCAGGGAATTGTAAGCTTATTTGGTAGACGTCGTCAACATCGACGATAATGACAAGCATTTCGAGACATATAACTTTGATTATATCACCATCATCATCATTCCACTTCAGATCATGTCTGAATACACTTCCGACCATTGTTGCGGAATCTCTTTGGCATGAGAAAACGTTTTCAGAGAAGAAAAGTTTATAATTACCCGCTAAGTATACGAACAGACAAAGAGGGAAAAGACACATTAATGAAACAAAAGTTCAGAGCCGCACAGGAAGTTCATCATCTTCCGCGACTTGCAAGTCTAGCCGTTTATAAAAATGCCATAAACGAGGAATGTAACGTTTCCACAAAACAAAGCTCAAGATGAAAGTAGAGACAACTATGATAGCAAAAGCAACGGTGCTAACTAGCATTGGGATAAAAGTACGCTGCTGATAATAATCACATGGCTTGACGGACGCTAAATAAGGTAATAAAGGATATTGCCAGCTTGCAGAATAACAAAAGTATAAATCTGGATTAGTAATCTCAGATTGGTTCATCAGATGGTCTACAACATCGAACAAACTACAATCACATCTCAATGGATTTCCATCGACACGTAAATCATTAAGTGTCCTCAGATGTGAGAAGTTGCTCGTGAAATGAATTCTGTTGTCACCAAGATCAAGAGTATAGACAGATTTTGGCAAGTCTGTGGCATCGACATTGAGAATTTGATTGCCTCTTAGATACAAGGAGCGTAGGGATATCAGATGGCTTAAAGGTAAGCTTCTACTTAATGCGCAATTAGACAAGTCGAGTTCAACTAATCCTGTAAGCTCATCCAGATGATCTGACCAACAATCCGTTTGACAACGAGTGAAGAGCAGGACATTATTAGATAAACGGAGATGTTGTAATTGGGGTAAACCTTCAAATGATAAAATGAGGCTTCCAATAGTCTAATTGTAATGTTAGTGAATTAAAAACCAACCAGCAAACAGAACTGGATCGATAGTAACTAATGCGTTACTTGAAGCATCTAGCATTAATAAAGAAGGCAGAACTGGATGCGGAAGAACCGAAAGCTGGTTAAATGATATATCTAATGATATAAGCTGTAATCCAACACTCGGAAAGGCTAGCTTATCAACCTGAGAACATTAAACATTAAGTGCTTGTTAACAATTTCAAACCTCTGAGAGTTGGTTATGAGACAAATCTAAATGCTGTAAAGATGGTAAGTGAGATAGAGTATCAGCTGTTAAGGTAGTTAATAAGTTATTAGATAATGATAAAGTATGTAAGTGCTCTAAAGAGATTCCTGGGGGTGGTTGAGGAAATGATGTTAGTAAGTTACGATCCAGGCTTAAAACTTCGAGTCCAACGGCCTATACAACGGATTAGAACAAAGGAAAGCATTACGTGACAAACCCGAATTTGGGTAATCTCAAGAAGGTTATCAGTTGCCCCGAGAAACTTTAAAGGACAGTCAGTTGCCAAGTTGATTCGTTTTATTCTCATTCCAGAAATATCCAAAGACGTTAAATGCTCTCCGCAGCTGGACCATTCATCTTCAGCCTTCATAAGGGAATGTTTCAGTTTCAAATTCCAAACTCTCAGATAAACACACAGCCTCTCTCTACCTATCTTTCTTGGCTTTCACAATGAGTTCATCGTTGTTTCTTTCTGGATCCGTTTTAAACCCAGAGCAACACAATGACCAAATTAGATTAGAGCCAAGAAGAATTTTAGCTTTCTACCGTGTAAATAAAGGGAGAAGCAGCAAATTCGTGAATCTCTCATTCATGACGTCATATATACTATTCAATCGTCTACCTTTCTCAAATTCTAGTAGTGAAACTAAGCTTACCAATGAGAGATCAGAATGCGAGATATTCAAGTTTGTCAAACGGCTTCGTTGCTCAAGCCAAGTGGGGAAACTTGTAGGTAGAAGAGTTTGTGATAAATCCATATATGTTATGTTCTCAAACAAATTCAATCCGGATTCCTCAATGTGCAAATCGGGGTTTTTCGATAAAACAAGTGTTGTCAGATGACTCATGTCATGAGCATCGAGCAAGAGTGAGCGACAATCTTCCCTATAAGGGCAAGCCGTAGACTCCTAAATGTAGATTCATATACGGAAATTCTTTTGGTTTATACCCTGAACATGAGCAAGGAACTGTTCAAACGAATCAAGTTGGCGTCTGATAAGAAAAGTTGTCGAACAGGTGGTAGAATCGTTGACCGCATAGCAATAGCTAGAGGATTGCGACTCAAATCTATTCGTTCTAACTGAACTCCGTCGGCAAGAATCCAGGATAGCTGACTCAAATCACGTATCCGATTTCCTAAGAATTAAACAGTTCCCGATGTGAATTAATTTAAGAAAACCCTTTTATGGCTTTCATTGAGTACCTGCTAAGTTGATCACTTTCAAAAACTTTAATGATCGAAGCACAGTAGGTGGCAAAGTTTCAAGCTTGTTGTCAGAAAGATCAAGCTCAACTAGCCCTGGTGTCGGTAGTAACGAATGAGGGGTTAAATCCAGTAACCCACAGCGATTTATTCGCAAAGAACGAAGTTTTTGATGGAAAAGGATATGAGGCATATGTGGTAGACGTAAATCAACTAGATGAAGCTTTTCTACATATGGCAGTAAGCTAACTGTACGCACAAGTAAAGTTGGGCTTGAGCATGTCACGCTCTGACTACCAATGTCACAAGTACAGTGCGAGCAAAGCTCAGAATATACTTTTCCAGTGAATAAAAATAGGAATAATTGAAGAAAATAATGAAACTGCATCATATGTTAATTCAGAAGCGTGAGCTTAAAATCCAACTTCGAAATAATCGAATGCCGTGACGTGGCCTTCCAATGGTTTCAAAGTAAATCAAGTTTCGAACGAGATAGTTCAATTCTGACAAAGAAAACCGAAACGTCGAAAAAGCCAAGTAGTTCAAGAACGGAAATCGGGCTCACACACAATCAGCGGCGCATTCACTGCTTAGGATGAAAAGCTCCGCCTCCGATGTGAGCAATACTGCGCTGCCAAACGAATAAAAGAAGAAGAGTAAGAAGCCCAATAGTGATTTTGCCAACAGCAATAAGAGCTCGATGACATGATGCGGCGGAAATGTTATCGCTCAGCCTGAGGCAATTGGCCAACTGGTCATCTAAGCTATTCAAAAACTCAATTATTCCATATATTCACTATTAGAAGCAGAACTCATAATATTCCAGTCTCTCGAAGTGTTTGTTTGATTCATGAACCAAGAATCTGCGGAGGAAACTTTCAAGTTTCTCCATAACTAGAATGGTTTCCTCAAAAAGGGTGATCTAATTTCTCAACTGAACTTTATGAGGAGTTTAGTCAGTACTGAGTTGGGAAGTTCTCCTCAAGCAAGAGGAAAGGAAACCCAGGAAATGAGATTATCGCTTGTGAATGAAAGTAAAACAAGAAACTTGCGAATTTCTTCAAACCCACAGAAACACAATTTTCAAACGGGAAACCCCCCTGATTGAGAAGCTACCTGACTTCACTCAGGGTTCCTTTCGAGTTTTATCTAAATCTAGCATAATTAAATGAACTAACCTTATCAAAATGACTGAGAGCGACAACTGATACATCTGCGATAGGAGTATGTAAGGGTCCCACACATTGTTGTTGGGCGATTAGTCCAGTTACAGATCGATCCACTTTGCAAGTGAGGTATCTAAGCGTCAGGTTGAAACCATATGTCGGTTTTTTTACATACCTTTTGCTTGAAACGGCTGGTAGCCGAAGAACACGTTCAAGAGCTTCTCGTACAGTTAGTGAATGAGGAAGTACTAACGGTTCCAAACTTGACTCTCTAGTTTCCAAATTGAACAACTTAAAGAGGAAGTAAAAATTGGCTCCTCATGATATAAAGACCTTCCTGTCTCGAGTGCCAATGAATCTGAGGTCGTGCTCAACAGGATGTATTGATGTTTTTTTGGCGAAGTCTTCAACAATAAGCTGTGAGAGAAATAGATCTTATGAATAAAACATCAAAAGAAACCTTCATGCTATCGTTGATCTCTCCAACAAAGGAGACTTTACACTTTTCCCTCTTAGCTATGCGAGCTATTCTTTCAATGAGTTCTTTATCAACCAAAGCCGCATCGCTCTCCTTAAGTTTCGGAATGAACAATCGCAGAACCGTTTGAAATTACTTACTTGATACTCAGCTGTCCACAATTCCTTCACAGAAAGTGTAGGATCTCCTAATTCAAAAGCATTGCATTTGATCACAGCTCCTTGATTCTCAACAAGCTCTCGGAGCACGTTACCTGTTAATCATTGAAGTTAGAAAAAAACAAATCGAAAAAAACCATTTCCACCAGCTCCTTGATCATGGATTGCCAATATTGGATTCTTATCAACATGTTCAGCACAACTTCTAACAACACGGTGCAACTTCTGACCCATTTCAGGATCTCCACGTTGAACAGCTCCGAAATCGAGATGACTATCTCTCGAGCCTAGCCAGGGTTGCAATTTTATCAAACATCAAACTAATTTTCTCAGAACCTTGAACAGCTAGAGAAGATGCAGCACCACCACCAACTCCAATTCTGTAGGCAGGCCCTCCGATCTTTGTTAAGACATTGTCTTTTTTTCTTGGAATCTTCTTCACGTTTTCTTCATCTTCAATGAATAGTTCAAATCATGAAACTCGGAGAATCATTCACCTATTGTGCCCACACCTCCAGAAAATAGAATAGGTTTGGCGTACTCGTATCTCTGCTTGTCGTGCAAACGCAACCCAAACGTTCTGGTGAATCCACAAATCACTGGCTCTCCAAACTTGTTACCGTAATCGGAAACACCATTTGATGCATCGATGATAATCTTCAAATGCCCAATCAAAGCAACAAACACATGCACAAATGAGTACCTGACCTGGACAACTGAAACCAGGCGGATATTTCCAATTATCTGTACACTCCCAAGGTAGATCATAGCCATCCAGATATAAATTACCAACGGAATATCCGGCTATCCCAGCAATCTCATAAGCACCTGTGAGATGTAATCTTTGAAGGAACTATGGAAAATTCAAGTCTAAACCTTTTCCCGTTGAATGGATATCTCTTATTCTTCCTCCTGTTCCAGTTGTAGCTCCCTGTAATATTGTTTCAACGGAACAAGGAGGGCGCAGTTTTTTACTTGAAATGGACAAACAGCAGTTGGAAAATTATGTGTTTCTGCAGAGTATATAATATGTCTGTTTGCAGGTTTCAATTGAAAGAAAGAAGCTCGAGTAGGGTCTTCGGGGTAGAGACTCATTAAAGATCCAAAGCCTTGGATTGCACTGTTAAGTTTCAGTTTCTATGATATGATATGATATTAGATATTTGAACCTTGAATTGTCACAGAAAGCTATGACACTGTTAGGGTTTGAAGTTAACAGAGTAGATTTGACCATTTTCATGAGAGACACCTGTGAACAAGTTGAAGATAAATTCAGGATAGTTTGGTTACAGGGATTGTTTTCCTATCCACAGAGAGAATTCCATTGAAAAACCAGTGCCTGGAGTGCTCAGAGTCGGACTGTGCCAAATCAAACAGCTCAACATCAGTCGGGTTTCTTTAAAACTTTGATAAACATAAAATATATTACTGATGCGTGCCTTTTTAGTTTGTTTCTATACAAGTCCAGGTAATAAAGAATATCGGCTTCGTCGAATGCTAAACCCATTTCAATATTAGCCTGTAACGTTCCTTAAGGGCTCAACAACTTTTCGATGAAAAAACCTTTCTCAAGTTGTTCTCATCAGATAGCAAATCAATTATGGTGAAATCCTGTCTCTCAATTCCCGATGTACCCCACATCGAATCAGTTGTATACACAAACTCTGAACCATGACCATCACAGTGATCAGCTCTAGATATCCAAACCTGTCATTTTGTCTCCCACTAAGTTAAGAAAGGTTTCGTGACTCATATTATTATTTCCAATAGAATATCGTCTAGATCTTTCAATTCTATCGACATTCTGAATGCCAACAGAGTCAAGGATTGATAACACATTTGTACAATAAGCTGTCTTTATCGAAAGCCTGAAGAAAATTAAAAACAAAATTGTAAAGAAAAACGATTAACCTGGGTCCAACTTCCAAAACATTTCCTTTGAGAATAGATTGTAGTTGAAGAACATCTTCAAACAAATCAAAATTCAATAGACTTCTTATCTTTTCCAAATGCTCTTTGAGGAACGTTTCCTTATCACTCCCCACCTGCAGAGAAAAAAACACTGACTGTAGTTGGGGCACCAAACAAACCTTTAAAAATATATTATAGCAGTATTCAAACTGTACTTGGCAGTTCTCCCCATTCTTCTGTAGGTAGTCTTGCAAGCATTTGATGCGACGATCTTCGTTCTTACAATGATAAGCTGCATAAAAGCGTAAATGAGACATCTGAAATAGAAATGATATCATTGAATTCAAAATAAAAAAAGAATGTTATGAAAAGATATTAATGAATACTGGCTGGTTGTCTTATTCCGGTTATAGAAGTAATGAACTTTCCAAAATAGAATAACAAAACTTTCAATTAGTTCTCATAACAATCCTGAACAAAATCAATAGCAGGTTTTTTAGAGAGCAACATACATTATTAGTACAAAAGTCATCGGAACTATGTTCTACAACTTTTATATGAGGTCTTCTGCAATCAAAGATCAAATGATCAGTGTATTTCTTCACGGTTGATTGTATCTGCATTGAACCGTTTATACAGAGTATGTGAAGTGAAAATTATATTAATGTTTATTCCATCTTACAGGTATATCAAAAATTTCATGAAGATGGCTTCATTCGGTAATTTACAGGAGAGTTATTCAGTGGTGGAGGGCTGGAAGGAAGTTCAGGAATGGTCTTTTGATGGTGAAGAGTGTCATTCTCTTGCTAGAACAGAGAATATGAGAATATCTTGAAAAACTCACTTGAATTTGTTTCAAGCGCTTGGATACTTTTTCTTCAAGAACTCGGCGAATGGAAGCTACAGACTGTGAGCCGCATCTCACAGACGGTCTGAAGAAGAATCAGTATGTACTCATTTAATATATAGGAGTTACTCTTTCTGTGAGAATTCTTTCGAACTGGACGTCACATGAGATGGAGTCATACCAAACTGGAAAGTACATGAATACACTGATTAAATGCAATACTTACGATTCTAGTGGTGCGACAGCGTTGGCGAATCGTGAAGCCAGGTAAAGCTCCAAATCTGTTCACCGGGTCTGGCATTGGTGGTTTAGGAGCTACGTAGTTTTCTGACTGCGGTAAGGATACTAACATATCCTTGCCATTAACTTTGAAATGCATGGGAACAGTAGTTATGCAGCTGTCCGTATTGCTTGCTGTATCAGTACAGGAGGTATGCGACAGAGAGTTGGAAGAGCTCGATGGAACTGCTGCTCTTCTCAAGATTTCTTCCGAGTCGTATGGATCAACCATAACCGACACTTCCGGCTTTACTTCCTCATTTTCTTGAATGCTTGCCTCGGATGTTTCTATCTGTGAAACGCTTAATGAGCCTGAAACAAAGGGAGCATGACCAGATATCTTAAATCCACCTACTCTCATCTGTTTGAATTTCTTTACAACTTTTTTGATTGTCTTTGACGACTTTTGTTATAATACAAGTATTACAAATTTGGCCATCATGGAAATCTCCAACAACGATTCGCCATTTGGAAATTTCGTTGTTGACCAGAAATAGTGAAACAGTTCCGAATTTGAATTTAATTTTCATTTCGCAAATTCTTTGCTAAATTTGTGGATAACACAGATGTTATTTAAGATGAAATTACCGGAATTTTATCTTTGAGACGCATAAAGGTTTCAGTTGTAATTGACTTTGCTTGCCGCAAGTTAAGTACATATCCTTTGTCTTCGGATTCATATATCATCAAAATACCTTTTGACGTAACTGTCATATAACGAAACGCAACGGATGATATATGCTCTAGGAAAAATCCCTAAATAATGCTAACTCAGATAGTTTCCAGTCGCATCATTACTTTTGCTTTTAATCTACAGCTGTGAGTACCATGAATAACCATATCGGATTCATGAACTTTCCATTTCTTCAAGTTGGGCAGGGAGACAGGCTTAAAAACTTTTTTTGAGCAGAAGTCCTGATCAGAATATATATTACCTTTTGTAAAGTTGAAGATATAGCCAAGCTCGCTCTATTTCCATTAATAGTTTTTTGCACAGTTCCCTTTAACACAGGTAAAGCGGTCATTTTAGAAATCAGTAGAAGTTAATATTAGAAACAGCCGATCCTGGCCGACTACAATTGTGAAATGGCCGTACACGTGGAATTAGCATTCACGGCTTCCACGTGCCGGAAGCGAGCGTCATGATAGCGGATATGTAAATTAAGGATATATCGATTTTGAAAATTCATTACCGGACAAAAACAAGTAAAAAATAAAACCGTGCTAATAGGAATAGTTACGAGATTACGAAGACACCATGAAACGAAATACAATAATTATATTGAGAAAAGTTACTTTCTTATGAGCAACTAGAAGACCAGAAAAAAGAAAGCACAAAATAAGTTAGAATTGAAGTTGTCTAATGAGCTGTTAATGTTTCGACAGCCTTGGCGAATCCTTGTTTTTGTACTACGAGAATAAAAGCTTCGGCTCGGTGGTAGAAAGATTTCGCGACACCTGAAAATTAAGAACTGAACTGAAAACTGATAACAGACAAGCTTTACCGAAAACAAAAGACACGCAATCTTTAGCGATTTCAAAGGCAATCTTTCCAACAACTTTTACGTTTTCAACAATTCCTCCAATGGTTTTATGTCCCTCTCGGTCATACCACTTCTTTACGTTAATAATCTAAAATACTCTTCTATCTGAGCCATTGAAACTATTTATACCTGTAAAGAAGCCCATCTCTGTACAGCCAAAGTCTTGTCCAGGACGAAAGCATGGACTTTGTAGAAGAATGATTCAAAAGATTTTCCAATATCGCTCTTAGCGAACTTTTTGTATTGAACGCTTATAGATTTTGTGCCAATGTTCCAGTAAGTGACGGTAGTTCTCTTATATCTGCAATGGACAACAATCTAAGAGCAAAGTTCACCCGACTTACCCGTTGAGTACAACTCCATATGTATTATATGCATTAGTGAAAAACTTATCAGAGGGTTTCTTGAACTCAGTCAATTTGTTCAAGTCAGTGCAGAGTGGCTGGAAGCAGATATCTCATCATTTGATGTTATAACCTAGAACTTACAGCACTTCCGGGTATTTTTTTGCCTCCTTCAACGCAGTTGAAAAGAATTTGAACGGTCGAACCAGCAAAAGCAAGAAGGGAAATGTAGAAAACGATTTTGAAAACAAAGCGAATGACTATAACACAATTAGGTTGAAATCAAAACTCAAAAACTACTCACAATTTGTTATAAAACATCCACCACTGCATTGTTTGACATTCTTAACTTCTTTACGTTTAGCAGCCTTGGCCATATTATCTTGATGTTTCTTTTTCTCTGAAGAAAAGAAAAAAGTTAAAAGGATGTTTTTACAGAATAAGAGCCATGAAAATCCGGAGGATGGAGAAGCACTTACGAAAATAACAAGAAATTGATATCAAACGAGAAAATATGCACAGTGCACACTATGTACACGTCAACATAAGGAAAAATAAAAAGCGATAAGAGATCAACACATGAACCAACTAGCCATGAAAGGAACCTAATAGATGTGTACAAAAAATTACGCGCCCAAAAATGGCAAATGAGACATTTAAAACAACCATGTATATGGTTCCTAATATAAGGTCAATTTGAGCGTCTGTCTGTTTCTCTAAACGAATATAGACAATTGACATATAACGGTGTATACCCAGTCTCTCTAACCCCTCTCATCGACTCTCTGTCTCTCTCTTACTCTCTCCATTAACAACAATTGTCATCTTGTAGAATGAGAGAACAAATCATCGATGTTAGCGTTGAAATATATGAAATGGAATCTACTAAAGTGAAAATGTGGGTGAAGCGCTTAATATGTTATGGGATTGATGTTTGTATTATAAAAATGATTAAAAACTAACCGTGATCAGCATGAGCCTGTTCATTTTTATTTGTTTGAACTGCTCGCTGTTGTTGTTGCTGCTTCTTCTTTTTCTTCTCTTGCTGAGCCTCATTTATAGCCTGAACCTTTTCATGAACTTTCTGCTGCTTAGCCTTCTAAACAAAGAAAGTACTAAAATATAGACAAGACCAACTAACAGAATCATCAACGCCTTTTTTGAGACTCTTCATGTAGGTGAGCACACCAACAGCAGCCTGCTTGCATTCTTTCTCGCTTCCACAATTTCCTGCAGCCTGAAACATCCATTCGTGCTCACATTTCCTATTCCTACTCACCTTAGCCAAGTTCTGAGTCAAAGGGTTCTTCTTGAGATCTAACCAGTTCAAGGAACGAAGATTGGCGAACGATAAAGGAAGTTCCTAAATATTCCATTAGTATTCGTGGCTACAGAACTACCAAACACACCTCTATTTGGTTATTGTACAAGTTCAAATGTTGGAGATGCACAAGGTTTCCAATGTTGTCAGGAAGCACAACAAGCTTGTTACTACCAAGTTCAAGTCTACAAAAAGAAGTGATCAATGAGCCTTTCTACTTCAGAACCTCGTAATCCTCGTCATATTGCAAAATTCGGGATAGATGAAAGAGATTTTATTCGCTCCTAAGTCGATTTCCGTGGCGCGGGGGATCTTGAAATTCCTAACATTTTTTCAAAATATTTTTTAATAATTATACCTGCACAAGTGCTTTGGGGATGGTAGTTAAACCCCGAACCGACAGATCAAGTTCGTTGTCATCTAGTAAGTCTTTCAATTCCTTCAAACTGAGTTCAGTAGCCATCTAAAAAAAGTTAGAAAATAAGCATTGTCTGTCACATCACATTGGTCAAGTAAGAAGTGTTGAAACACTGAGCTCATATGGGAAAATTGAAAAAAAACTAATTTAATTAACAACGAATATCACAAGTGGTTAATTCGATCACAACATTATGCAGATATGTAAGTATTATTATTATTATTATGACTATCGTTTGATTGAGCTTATTAAGTAAAGCTATGCTTCCTAATGGGGATAACAGATTGCTATAACTCGGATTTCACTTTTTTCGAGCTATCTTTCTGTTTCTTGGATGGTTTTTTGTCTCTCGACTTCTCTTCCTTTCTTTTCTTCTGCTCATTTCTGGCCTCTTCCTCTATGTCTGACTTAGTCATCTTCTCCCTTTAAGCTTGAGTGTGAGTTATTTCTAAAGATGAAAGAGGAACCTGTCGCTGCTCTGAATTATCGAGAATTTTTTAGCCATCTTGTCGACTACTTCCATGGTGTCCGAGTCCAGAAGCCCTGAACCGAATAGGTAAAAACTCTCTTGAAAGTTACTACACCTGTATCTTTAGCATAGTTATAAGCCCAGACAATAACAGTGTTCAGCTTTCTATCCTTTTTCATGACTTTCTCGAAATGGGAGAAATATGACAAAGATAATTCAGAAAAAAAGGAGATGTTTTCCAAAAGCTGCAATTATAGTCTATTATCAGAAATGAAAAATATGTGTTGTACCTTTGAGAGATTTGTTTTGAGTAAATCACTATCATATGGAAATGGATCTTCTGATTTCCATTGGACTCGTTCGAGGGTGCCTCTTGCTTCAGTCAGTAATTTTTTGATGTTATTTCTGATCTATAACGAAGGAAAATATAATTAGAACATTCGAAAGACTAACTTCTTCAATGTAGAGCCGCTGTTTATCTTTCTGAATACTTGCTATGGAGTTAACAGCTTCTTTATGCTCCTCTCTACGCAATTTGAATTCCTCGATGTCTATATTGAATTAGAGCACAATCAATAAAACCAACAGGGAAAATAAAACTATTCGCAGAAAAGCGGCAGAACTTTCTTGCGAAAGTCTTATTATTTGAAACTGCTCAATTCGCGCACGATTTGATAGTAAAAACACAAACTAACATGTTTTCCTATGATTGAAAGTCTCAGCATTTTTGTGCTCTTGCGGGAGCGTATCAACAACTTGTTTTTTCTTGATATCTTTATGAGTTGAATCAACTTTGCAATTTACTAGACATATCAGACATGCTATGATAGATAAGTTGCGAAGAAACATAACCTGAAAATGAGAATAAAAACTATGGTTCTCATAAGGTAACTAACAATCGAATACGAAAACCACAGTCTGAGCAAATATGTACAACACTACGTGTACCGGACTCCCACGGACATTTATTAAGTTCGCCTTGTAGCAAGTATTAGACCTTTAAGAGAGATTCAAATTATTATTGCGTTCCGATCTAGTACTACATCATAACATAAGAACACGTATTTGTATATTTTCATTTTAAATGTAGCTTCTACTCTTCAAAAATAACGAGAAAGGCGGTATGTGACTTTTTTTCTTTCAAAAATTCAATATTTTCTCCCATTCTCTCTCTCAACGTATGCCGTACGAAGTCCCATCGCTGAGAAAAACAATCTCTGACTCTCTGGCATGTTTTTTTTCCGCAAACTTGCCAATTGAGTCCTCCTCCACTTCCTATGCGCATAGCAGTTTTGATGTGGCTGAGGCACGGGAGACTTTCATGTTATTCTTCATACTTTGTGACTCATTTATAGTCGTGTGCCAATGTTAAATGCTGATATTATACTTATCATTCCATCATTGTTTTTCCTATCTCTTCCATAGCCAAATCAATGTTTCCTGTATTGGGTTTCTGGTTACGTGATAACTGTCTATTATTCCCGGCAAAGGGCCGGAGAGACCTTGACGACTGCAGTTTTGGTTGGATAGGTGCAACTCTCCCCTTGATGTAATATGTCTTAAGATCTTCCACGTATTCTTGTACTTTCGAAACTTATCACTCATCTTAGAAACGTTGATTCTCCTTCACGTCATTTCGCTGAACTTCAAATGCTCACTCGTTCAATTAGATCTTGCCATCAAAAGCTCATTAAGAGACTAAATACACTCAAACACAAATATATTTCAATGTTCGCTAAATAAAGCGCTTATTTGCTCTTTGTCGCCTAAACTTATCAGTTCTCTTGTATCCAACATATCGCATGTAATCAATTCCTTCCAAGCCTATTGATTGTTACATGTGCTTCCATTATAACTCACTTTGAAACTTTCTTGTATCAAATAGTATATCTTTTGTTTTCAGGACAAGGCTTTGGGATCAGCATTATGTCGGAGGTCAAGCCAGTTTCCCCGTGGGTGTTGAATTTTTTTCTTTCTCTTGTTACACTCAAGATATGCAAGCAATTGTCAAAACTCATATATTTCAGTGGAAGTTTATCTTTATGGCAAAAGTATGGACCTTCTGAAAACACCGTACGTGGTATTGTAATCGGTGGTATTACGGGAGGAATAGAGGTAAACAGGATAGATGACTGGATGGAATAACTATTTTTAGATCTGCATCACATTCCCAACTGAATATGTGAAGACACAATTACAATTAGACGAGCGTTCCGCAACACCTAAGTTTAAGGTTTTTTTTGAATATTCTTTCTTTTTTTCTTTTCTACTATTATTGATAAGAGGAGTTTGGTGAGAGTTTATATCTCGCGTGGTGGGGTGATAGGAATGTAACCATATTTCCATTTTTTATGTGTCTCTCTTATTCTCTTTTTTTTCAGGGTCCAATAGATTGCGTTAATCAGACAGTGAAAGGCCATGGATTCTTCGGATTGTACAGAGGTCTTTCTGTTTTGCTCTACGGATCTATTCCAAAGTCTTCCTTCAGGTAAGTTCCTTTTTTGTCTCTTTTTCATATTCTTATAGATTCGGAACTTTCGAATATCTCAAGGGGAAGGCTGCAGATGAGAGGGGAAACTTGACTCCAATGATGCGATTAGCATGCGGTCTCGGAGCAGGTACTGTAGTTCGCGAGATCTTAACTCTATGACTCATTCAGGATTATCTGAGGCTGTGTTTGCTGTTACTCCCATGGAAACGGTGAAAGTAAAATTCATTCACGACCAAGGCCTTCCTCAACCCAAGTTTAAAGGGTTTGTCCATGGAGTCGGATGTATCATAAAGCAAGATGGCATAGGAGTAGGCGATCGGCAAAACACAACAATTGATTTTCAAATTGCAGGGAATTTACAAAGGAGTTACTGCCACTATGGCTAAACAAGGTTCTAACCAGGCTATTCGGTTTTTCGTGATGGAAACATTAAAGGTAAGCGAACTAAACAACTAGATTCTGTCAAGTCACCGAAAGTTACATGATTTATCTCTCTGAAGGTCATCTAAACTTTGTTCCACTTTTTTATCGCTTGATAATAAGATAACCATGAGTATTGTTCAAGATGTTTATATGTTGCAGGATTGGTACAGAGATGGAGATAACACCAAGACCATCTCCAAGCCTTTGGTTGGACTTATGGGAGCCGTAGCGGGAGCTGCCTCCGTATATGGTTAGATAATTAGCATATTCTATCAAGAGAAGGGCAACATTGAAGGTAACACTCCTATCGACGTAGTGAAAACCCGTATGCAAGGATTGGAATCGAAGAAATACAAGAGCTCAATTGATTGTGCCGTTAAAATTTGGAAAAACGAAGGATTCTTTGCGTAAGCTACCAATCTTGCTCTCCCACATAATAATCGCTTTCATTGTTTTGCAGATTCTACAAAGGAACAGTTCCGAGATTATCTCGAGTTTGCTTGGATGTTGCTATCACTTTCATGATCTACGATTCCATCATGGAGTTCCTCGACAAACATTGGAAAAAAGCATAAATGTTTTGTATCATACCTTATCTAATTTATTCCTTGTAGCATTCGCGATTTGTAGTAGACATTATAATAACCTGTGTTATTTTTTTTTGTAAAAAAGAAAAACATTCCTTTAATAGGTTGTGCTGAGAAACTGTGAAGTTAGGACATTGTGATACTGTAGTTATAGACTTTTTTTTTCAAAAAATTTTTTGTATTACTAATAAACTTCTTCTACTATACCATCCTTCAGAAGCGCTATAGACATAATACAATCTATCTGAATGAGATTATTCATTGGAAGAAAGCCACCTTCAATCTTTTAGCTGTTTGGTCTCTTTCTTGTTCTCTGTGTAGGCATAGCGCTCTCTTTCTCTGCACTATGGTTAATGCTTGGTAGAGCGATTTCCAAGTTCATTTTTGTTTTTATTTGATAAGCTATTGATTCTGATATTCTCCATCATTAGTTAATTGAATGTTAAAAGCAGGCAACATCTATGTGCAGTTGCGTACTTAACTTTAGCCAACAGTTATCGATTTAATGCGATCATCTGCTTTATTTAGTCATAGTTTTTTTTCCTGCATGAACTGTTCTTTATATTTATTTCCGAACTTAACAGTTACAATTTTATAAACAAATGAGTGAATTGCTCAGCAAGTATCTGATGACACTTCTCATTACACACTGTTTTCTAACATAAATGTTTGTTATGAAACACCAAATCTCACAAGAGTCATTTCAGAATGGCGAATCCTGTACGTGATGGGTACAGGGAATTTGAGAATGAAGATGACACAGCATCTGTTGCTCCTCAGGTTTTGCGAAAAGCTTTCATCATTATCTTTTTCTCCTGGTATAGAATGTCCCACGCGGTCCAACTGAAGATTCTTCTCTTTTCCAAGAAAGGTTAGCAACTAGCAATACTCTAAGTCCAGAGCAGGCTTTCATTCATATGGTTAAAGTAGGTACTTCTTCTAATACCTGAGGCCAACATTGTTTTTAGGCTATGTTAGGAACTGGATTACTATCATTGCCATTAGCTTTCAAGCATTCCGGCTTATTTGTAAGTGATCATCAGTTTCAAAAGTTATATTAATGTTCAGCTTGGATTAATCTTGACAATCATCATTTGTATAGTTTGCTTGTATTGTATGCGACAAGTTGTCTTTGCTGCTCATTTCGTATGTAACAGGTACAGGTTTAACTTGTAACTTACAATCTTAAAATGTATTTGAAGAAATGGTCGGGATCTGATTGATTATGCGAATATTATGAGAGGAGCTGTTGAGATGGGACCTCCGTGGATCAAACGAAGAGGATATTTCTTCAAGTTAGTTCAGTTTTCTTTTTCAAGACTTTCTTATGGTTTCAGACAGTTAGTAAACGTCAACATGTTCGTCTCTCAGTTTGGCTTCTGTTGTGTTTACTTTGTATTCATGGCTGATAATCTGGAAGATGTAAGTTATCTGTGACTAAATTTATCTATTGAACTTTGTAACTCAGTTTTTCAACAATAATACAAACATCCATATGTCGAAAGCGGCTTGGATGCTTGTGTTGATGATTCCAATGATGCTCCTTTGTTCGATTAGAAGGTGAATATTGTATTTAGATTTACCTTATCATCCTTATTTTAGACTTTCTGTCCTGGCACCCTTAGCAATGGGTGCCAATGTGGTTTACATCATGGCCGTGGGTTTAGTCCTGTTTTACTTCGTCTCAAGTTAGTACAGTCGTATAACGCTATCTTATCTTCAACATGCTTAGATCTTCAACCAATAAACTCATTGCCATGGTTTGGTAATCTTTCTGACTTGCCTCTGTTTTTCGGTACTGTCATGTTTGCGTTTGAAGGAGTCGCAGTGGTATGAGAATTCTTCAAAGATCACGAATCTCTTCTTAACTCTTAGATTATGCCTATCGAAAATCGAATGCAGTCACCTCAATCATTTATTGCATGGAATGGTGTACTGAACTCCAGTTGTCTTGTTGTATTAGCGATTTTCCTGGTAACAGGATTTTATGGGTAATTTTTTTATTTGGTTCATACCATATGTGATATCTTATAGATATCTCTCATTGGGAGATGCTGTTAAAGACACTGCCACTCTGAACTTACCAATGACACCGTAAGCGTAAGATATGAGTTTGGTTTCATATAACTGTTTACAGCTTCTATCAAACTATCAAGTTGATGTTTGTCGCGTGTATAATGATCTCTTATCCTTTACAATTCTACGTTCCTATGGAACGAGTAGAGAAATGGATTACACGAAAGATCCCGGTTCATCGACAAACTAGCTATATATATGGAACTCGTTTGGGGGGAGTCCTTCTCACCTGTAATTTGATTTAGTTTGATATCAAGTTTTCTGATCTCCATGATTCAGGCGCTATTGCTGAGCTTATTCCTCATTTAGCTCTCTTCATCTCACTCATTGGAGCATTTTCGGGAGCTTCAATGGCTTTACTGTTTCCCCCTTGCATAGAATTACTGGTGATTTTATGTTTACGATCTTAGTCTTATTATTTATTCCAGACATTGTATGCCAAGGGACAGCTCACTAGAACTGTTTGGGTGAGGAACATTTTCCTTCTTAGCTTCGCTCTATTAGGTTTCACTACTGGAACATACGCGGCTTTATCCGAGATTTGGAAAACCTTCTAAGGAAGTAAACGATCTACTAATGATCTGAAAATTGTGATTGTTTTATCATTCATTTAACTATAATCAAATGTTGAGAAAAGCATGCTGGGCTTGCTCAATATGTCTGTGTATTTTGCTTCATATTGAATTCAGAGAAGAACATTTCTAATTGTTTTATTAAATGTACTGGTTGAGCCTGTATCGTGGATAGGAGGGTTTTTATCATATTCTATTTATTGTATTTTTTTAAAACTGAGTGAAGATTTTTTATATTTCTCTGTTGAGTTTGATTCGCAGGAGCTCTTCATGAGTTAATTTACGCGTTGCCGCCATCTATATGCTAATTTCGATTTTGAATGTCATCTATCGCCATTTTGTGTAAACTGACTTCGGCATGCGGTTGTTCTTATACCTGCTGCAAATATCACTGATTACTAGTATTGCTTGTGCTGTAAGTTTCCCGATTCACCCTCTTGGGTATGACCATTGTACATGCAGCGAAATCCACTCAAACGAAGTAGTAGCACCCGCAATCCGGATTGTTCACCGGAAATTGATGATGAGCCTGAGGATACTACTGATATAAACTATGTGTTCATACTGGATCATACAATTCCCGAAGAAAATGTGGGTTCATGATATAATTTCCAAACACCTCATTACTTTCTAGCTAGGAAAGTTGAAGTACTTAATGAAAGCCATGAGCTGCGAAATTACGAGTACTGATCCGTACAAACTCAACATACTTCATCTGGATGAGAAACAGGTGAGTTACGATTCTGATTACCGAATAGTAACCATGATTCCAGAGCACTCTCTCCAGACATGTTCCAAGTGCGAATTTCATAGATCTACTCGATGCCGCAGTGCAAAAAGGTTTGTTTTGATGATTATTTGGGAAAATGAAATCAATTTCCAGATACCAGCAATGCTAAATCAAAATCTCTCTGTCATCGTATAGAAGACCCTCTAGCCAAGATGAAGCTTAACTCTTCATCGTTTTATCGCTTTGTCATTCCTATAGATACAACAATAGAAAGTTAGTGTTGGCCGGGGGCATATTGAATACCAACTCTTACATCAATTCAGATTGCTCTGTAAGAGACACATTCCGGAAAATATTTGGAAAACATGAGTACAGAAAAAGAATTTATGCTGACGTAATACAGTTTGGTAAAGTAAGGAATGCGGCATCTCAGCCGAAAATAACTGTGGATTGGAGCTCCATAGATGTGAAAGGTAAATAAATGTAAATCTCAAACCTTTCCACCTTTTTTCAGTTGATAAACTAACAAAATCTGAAAAATTTCGAAGGCTGTCCACGTCTGCCATGTTAGCTGAAGATATTTCTGAATGGTATCTCTTGTTCTTTTTTTCTTGAACAGTCTTTCTAGGGCTCACGACACTGTCAATAAGACAGCAGAAAATAACATATTTGATAGTTGGCCTGAGACAACAGTTTCGTTAACATCATCCACAACGGAATCACCAAGAACATCTACGATTCTGTTGAAGACTTCGAGTGAGTCTTCGTAAGTAATACTACTGAACAGGTCAAAAAACAGAAAAATCAACTGCAATGCCTTCTGCTGAAACGACATTCAGTAAAGTTGTAAAGCCAACACCTACGGATTCAAGTTTTCGAACCTCGAAAAAACCGAGCTTAAGAATCCCGGAGAAACCTTTGGTATTTAATATTGTTGAGGAAATACAACCAGAGAAAATGAAATTGGAACACAACAAAAAGTAAGTTAGATAAATGATTTATCCAATATAAATATTCTCGTTTGTAGAACTTATGAGCTTGAAAAGGCAAAGAACGGAAACTTCAAAATGTAACCAACGATGAAAACCGAAGCCAAAACTATTTTCTTTCCAGAAACGATCTTAACTTCACTTTGCATGAGAGGGATGAGGTGCACATGGGTGGTAAAACCTACAATGTCAAGACTTTTGTTTTGAACGATACTGTAGAAGTATTTTTGAAGACTAATAGCAATGAAACTCTCACTCTACAACTGTTGGTTCTGTTCGATTACTCATCATAATATACATATAGGGCTGCGAATCAATTTAATCCCATTATTGATTCAAATGCAATCTCAAGTCTCAACGATCTATTACATTATGTTCTCCTTCTCAACTCACTTGTGGAAGGAAACGATAAAATGCTCGGTATGGATGTGAAATAAGTTTTGTATAGAACACTTTCTTTCAGTGGCTGATATGGAGTAAGTTTCATTAATATAATTGTTGTACTCATTGAGCTTCAATAGTGAATCAGAAACGAATGGTGCGCTGTTGCTAGGATGGAAATGGTTTCTGATTGCTCTTGGAATTTTGATCCTTCTCTTAATATTATTTTGTTGCTTCTGCCGTTACAGAAGAAAGAGAAAAACAGAAGTTGGTCAGAAGTTTCTTTTTTTTTATCAACTCTGATTGCAGTACTATATCACTAACCCAGCGTTATCTCCACTCATTTCTACGCAATCTTCTCACGATGAAAAAACATCTGTAATTACGCAATTCGTAGTTTTTCACACTCACATATTCTTAATTTTAGAGTGCAAGCAAGGCTGGTCTAAACCCTGTCAAAAATATTCAACCGGTTTTGGAAGAGTACTTGAATAGAAGAATGATTTTTTCAGATCGAAGGAACTCAACTCAGTCAGCATAGTTCACAATCAACGCAACTCGGTTCCCAATCTCATCATTCCAACCCTGATCCTTACAGTCCTCCTTTACACTTCGTCGCAGATAGTGAGTTTATAATTCAAGAAAATTGGAACATTTCTGTTACAGTACGTTACGATAGTTTACGAGCAACACCTCCTGTATCTCCCGAAACACTAGCTTCAGATGTGAATTTCAAATAAAATAATTAACTCAGTTCAAATTTTTTCAGAGAGCACCTATGAAAAACGCTGAGGAACTGAAATCTCTAAGAATAGGCAACTGATTACGCACTTGTACAATCATGACATCACTATGTGAATAAAACAATCATAACTATATCTTCGATTTATTTATTCTTTACAACTTGTTCTTCGTTTTCAAAACCAATACCTTAATCTGTTAATTGATAACTGAACCAATCGTGAACTTTCAGAACTTTACAACAAGGAGCACAAACCGGTTCATTTGTAATCAACCGACAGCAGCCTTGCTCAAAAAAATTTGAAGGTATTCAAAAAATCATTAAAAAATTTGATGTGAGAAGCACTCATTGCAAGTTTGACTGTTTTGGCTTGGGCAAGTCATGACAGATTCATGATATATATCACTTGTATGATAATACATATAAAAAAACATCCAGCAGTGATGAGACTAAATAGATCTAGTTTTTTACTCCATCGCCGTTTCGTCGAAAATAGCAGTTCACAATGTTTCTAATGTTCCGCAAACTTTGGAAAGTTTCCAACAGTTTGAATTTTGGATAGTCTTTTCAAACTTATTAGTGAATAGTTCTTCTCGGGTTCATTCCTATTTTGAATTCTTTTAAGTGTTCTATTTTTTTTTGTGATAAGTCTCTATTTTCAGTTTGTCACTTTCCAATATGTTTGATAATGAAGCCACAATGAATGTCCCAGTTGATGAAAATCAGTCTGAAATCACAGAATGTTCGACAGAATCACTTAACCGTACTTTTGAATCAGGAGAGAACACAGAAAAGCTCACTACAGTAATGAAGTATGTTTTTTCTGGTTTCTGGAGTTGCACGTTATAATCCCATTGGACCTTACTAAAATCCTAAATCGCGCTCAGGCGAAACGTTACCCTACAAGGGAATCAATAGTTCTAGCTAACAAAGGTCTCTCAAACTTGGACAAGTCACTTGATGTATTCCATCACGAGTTTATGCATTGTACTCATTTGTTAGTAATCACAAAATTAAAAATTCAAAATAGTTGGTTCGATCGATAGGTAGCATGAGTTGGACTGCTTAACCATCGTTGATTAGTATATTGTTATGCTGATTCATAAGGATATTGTTCTGTTTCAGCCAGGGATCTCGAACTATTACACGTCCAATCAAACCTCGCGAAACTATTAACACCAATGGATCTTTAAACACCACTAGGTTTGCTTATAACGGTTTTTCATATATACTCGTCGGTCCTTAATCTTATTTCGTTTGAAAATGACTAACAATAATACAGATCTAGTAGATCAGAAAAATAGTCTGTGCATGTTTATATTTCATGTATATTTTCATAACTTTCTCGTTCAGAACAATGGTTCGAGAGCGACAGAAAACGATGGTAGTTGAAAGCCAATTAGTTAGTGACGTTCGAAGAATACTATCCGAAGCTAAGGTATAAGAATTACCAAAACGTTTATAATAATAATAATTCTTGCAGATCAACGAAATTCCTGAATTAGCGGGCTTGGAAAGAAATTTGATAAGTACTCTTCAAAAACACGAGAACGATGTAAACGCTAAACTTTATGAGGTCTGTGGTTTATAGGTGATCATTTTCATAACTGTCGTTTTAAGGCTACTTCTAAATCGAGCTCCCCTATCGAATCACTATTATACAAGCATTTCAATGCTGATTTAAGAAAAATGGTCAGACTTTTGCTTTCTGAAGGTATTGAAAACACGAATCGCTTTTATTATTATTATTTTTCAGTACAAAAGAGTGGAGGTCCAGGTAACACTTGTAAAGCTTGCGATGGAAGTTGTGATTATTCTAGGAAATTGCGACTGTGAGCTTGAATAGTAGTTATAAGCTAATTTTGACATTGTAGGGATCTAGAGAGTGCTGCTGTTGAATTGGATAATCTTCACCAGGAGTATTCCAAGCTTTATGAGAACTTCGGGAAAGTTTGTGAGGTTAATTAGAACCGTTAAACGTTGCTCGAATTCAGAGTCGTAATCTTCTGCATTTGCAAAAGAAGGAGTACGTTCAATTGGAGACTGTTTTGAATGAGGAGCGACAGAAATATAAGCAGTTGATGGAAAAATTTGTTCGCCTGCGAGAAGATGCTACTCGTAAGCTTGAACAGTAAGTTCTAGTCTTCAATGTTGGTACTCTATTGATCTTTCCAGTGCTTCCCAAGAAATTGTAAGCTGTGAAAATAAACACGAAGAGAACACTAAGGGCTTACGTTTGAAGGTTAAAGCCTTCGAACTCGAAATTAAGAATCTCAGAGAAACTGTGGAATTAAAGGTTTGAACTGTGAGAAAGTGTATGCTCATAGTTGGTTCTTACAGAGAAAGGAGAATGATGATCTTCAAAGAATGCTCAGAAGTATAGTGACAGATCTAGAAGTCAATTCAGATCTCTCAGAATCTGAGCAATAAACTATTAGACGACTGTGTCATCCACAAGAAAATCATAATGAAACTCGGTAACTAGCTTCACTGTATATTGCGTTATATTGCTTAAAGGGTGTTAAAATATTTGGTACTCGGCCGGTGTTGTATTATTAAAATATTAAATATTATAATTTGCTCTAATGTTTATTGGTGTTGTCACCATATTTGTATTTGTTATCACTTGTTCAAGTTGGATTAGATAAGTTGTAGATCAATAGAGTTATGAGTTTTGACATGGATCGGTCGAAGGAAAGAATAGATGCCGCTAAACGGAAAGCTAGACCTGGTCAGTTGCCGTATAGGAGTCACATCATAATGAAGAATTTAGAGTTGAACAGATTTGGATGGGATACTTTAAACTATCATGAGAGTTTTAATTTTCCCAAGCTAGTTGACAACATAGCGAGGTAGCGTAATATTTGGAAGTTACATCAATAAATCATCTTTAGAGAAGATGCTACCAACATGACTACTGAAACGTTTCGTGCAAAATATGAAATTCCAAGAGTTCCTTGCATACTTACAGGACTAACAAATACATGGAGAGCTCAGGAAAAATGGAACACCGAAGTGAGTGAGAGATCTGTAGACTAAGCTTTGTTTGCAGCGTTTACTTCGAAAATATCGCAATCAACGCTTCAAGTGTGGAGAAGACGATAAAGGTTATTCTGTTAAAATGAAAATGAAATATTATATTGATTATATGAAGAATAACATAGATGATAGCCCTCTTTACATATTTGATAGTGGTTTTGGTAGTGTGAGTTTGACCGTCAGATAAGCATTCTCTTCATTAATTACTGTTCAGCGTAAAAAAGTTAAGAAGTTACTTGATGATTATGAAGTTCCCGAAATGTTCAAAGATGATCTCTTTAACTATGCCAATTTCGAAAAAAGGCCTCCTCACAGGTGATAAAAGAGAATTGTTCCGCGTTTGTAATGTAAGCTTTAGATGGTTCGTGATGGGGCCGCCTAGATCGGGTACGAACATTCATATAGACCCACTAGGAACAAGCGCTTGGAACAGCTTGATTAAAGGACATAAAAGGTATGTCACATGCAGCAAGCTTTCATTCATATCTATAGGTGGGTGCTCATTCATCCGGACGCACCTAAGGTGATGATAAAGCCCCTTCAACACGAGAAAGGAAAACATCCTGATGAGGCCGTTACATGGTTTAGATACGTGTACTATCGAGTAAAAGCCAATGATTGGCCGAAAGAGTTTCCTATCATAGAGGCTCGTCAAGGTCCTGGCGAAACGATGTTCGTTCCATCAGGTAAACCTCTTCAGTTGCCAAGTCATTATTTTATGTCTAGGATGGTGGCATGTTGTCATAAACGAAGATGAAACAATAGCTATCACTCAAAACTTCTGTTCGCTTGTTAACTTACGTCATGTATGGCCTAAAACTGTCAAAGGGCGTCCTAAACTGAGCAAGCATTGGTATAGGAGGTAAAACCGTACCATTACAGTTTTGAATATTAATGAACAATATGTGTTAGATTGAAAAAGGCACGGCCCGAGTGTATTCCTATTATGGATGAAGCTCTGGAATCAGAGATAGTCGAGAACTCGAGTAGTGATTCGTCCTCCAGTAGTAGTAGCAGTTCTGATTCTGAAGACACAACAAGCGATGATGATGATGATTCTGGGTACCAGAGAAGTTCTGAAAACGGGTTAACCAAGAAGAGGTGTGTTTGGACCTCTAAGAATGTACAGAGAGTTTCTGTTTTCAGAAAATTGTGTGATGAACAGACTAACAGCTTCATGGAAAGTGTCTGCTACAACAAGTTGCGCCGTAGTCCCACTCAACAGTCTTAAGTATAAAGCTCTAACACATTTCAAAAATTATAATCCGGGTTATCAATGAATTAGACCTATCTTTGTTATATTAACAAATAAATTATTTAGGCATGTAATGAATTGTTTTAAAATGCTGTTTTGAATGTTCTTCACTTCACTCATCTTGTTCAGATCTCGATAGAGTATAACCTTATAAGCAGTTGTTTGTAGAATGTCTATATTTTATCGAATCATTATAGTATTCAGAGTAGAGGAAAGAGAAGGGATGATTTTGAAACTCAATAAAGTTACTTCTTTGTATTAACACATGATTTGAAAGACTGCTAAACGGCCATGTTACCACTTGCTCCACGTTCTACATCTGTAGTCTCAGATACCTCAACTTTGTTTTCAGTCAGCTATATGATGCTAATTGGCAATTTATGAAAAGGAGGACAAGAAATCTGTCCTAGGGTGCAAGTTCGGCGTTAAACCTGACTTCAAACTTTACTCGCTGGAAATGAGCTTCTTGTTTAGAGTTTGGAGAAGTCCTAATAAAAGGAGCCATTCCTGCAAGAATTGGAGAGAAGATCAAGAACACTCAATGGATGAGATTCAAAAATCTTATAAAAACTCCCGTTTATATCTTCAAATGATGTATATAATAAGTCGCAATAGTTTACAGTCTCGTTTTATCAATTTAAAGGGTACGGTATCGAGAGATCCGGAAATACTTTGTACTTGAATCGTACCAACACCTCTCATCCTCTTGTTTTTATAACTTTTCCAATGTCACGTTTTTAATATTTTTCAGATATGTTTGATACTGTTCCAAAGTTTGAGCTAGATGATAATGAAGCGGAGGTCTCTGGCTCCACTGAACCGTTGAACAGGACATTCGAAACTGGTGTCAACACGGAGAAACTGACTGCTTTGATCAGTCATGGTTCTCGAACTGTCACTCGTCCTGTCAAGCCCCGTGATTCCAATGCCAGTGCAGCTCTGAACACCACCAGGTACGTAAATCATGCTGTTTGTCTCATCTTCTCCTACAGGACTATGATCCGAGAAAAACCGAACGCTACAGTAGTTGAAAGCCAGTTGGTTAGTGATATTCGAAGGGTGTTGTCTAGGGCGAAGGTGAGAGAATAGCTGCAACCAAGAAAGCAAAGATTTTAGATGAACGGAACTCCTGATTTATCTGATTTGGAAAAGAAGTTGATCTGTACAGTTCAAAAGCATGAAAACGTTTTCGATGATAAACATCATATAGAGGTAAGGTTCTGTGTATTGTTCTGCCTGTAAATTGCGCTGTAGGCTTCTTCCTCATCAAAAGCTTCAACAGAGTTGCTGATGTACAAGCATTTCAATGCTGATTTGAGAAAAATGGTCAAGCTTTTGATCTCAGAAGGTAATCAACGAAACGGGGATTAATCTTCAATCAATCATTACAGTCCAGAAGAGGGGAGGCGCAAAGACCACGATTAAAGCATGCGATGGGAGCTGCGAGCATTCTCGAAAATTAAGCTTGTAAGCTTTAAAAGGAGGAGTAGTATAGTTTCAACTGGGTATTGTAGGGATCTACAGAATGCAGCCGCTGATGTAGAAGCGCAACACAAGGATTATGAGAAACTTATGGAACAGTTCGATTACGTAAGTGAAGTTTTGATTCACTATAACCTTATGTGTTGTAGAATCGAAAATTACTACAGCAACAAAAACATGACTACATCAATTTGGAGAATATTTTGAATGAGGAGAGAGAGATGTATAAGCAACTAATGGAGAAGTTTTTGAGATTAAGACATCATGCGATCCGTCAACTGGAACAGTAAGTTCCAATATGTGACGTTTGAGAATCCCTATCTTCAGCGCTTCGGGCGAAATCGTGAACTGTGAGAATAAGCACGAAGAAGATACGAAAGGCCTACGTTTGAAGGTAAAAGCCTTCGAACTCGAAATCAAGAATCTCAGAGAAGCAGTTCTACTCAAGGTATAATCCTTCGTTGGGAAAAAAGTTATAACCATTTTTTTCGTAGAGAAAAGAAAACGATGATCTGCAGAGAATGCTCCGAAGTATAGTGACTGATCTCGAAGTCCCTTCTGATACTTCTGATCCTGATAACTGGATTAACTAACTAATAAACTGACTACCTCCATCAATGATCAACTATCAAAGAGGCTGTAATATATATTGGAAACTTTAACAATTTTTCTTTTTTTCTCCGATGTTTAACAATCTGCTAACTAATCTTCTGTGAAATAAAGCTTGTATCATAAAGTCTGTTCGCATTTTTCATACGACGACTAGGATGCAAGTTCATCTTCAACTTCTCTGTGATAGACAACGCTTTGTTCGAAATCAAACGAAACACTCAAAAGCTTCTTGTCTGAAAATTAGTGATGAGACTATTATAACATAAATTCTGAATGTTGAACTACCTTCAAGCTTGAAAATTTTCGAGTAGACGTTAATACGTGAATGCGTAACTTATTGTTTGAATGATTATTTTTGACGAACTTGGTTACATAAACGATAAAGTTTGATGGTGAACTTCTACTTACAAAATGGACTAACTTTTTATGTAGACTTCTTGAAACCGTACTCATCTCCATATATTTAAGATTTCTTCACTTGCCACTAATCAAGCATGCCGGCAAGTAGCAGCACCTTTTCAGCAGCAGACTTCAAGGTTTTTTGAAACTCTTACTATAGTTCATCAGATATTCAGGATTTGAAAGATAATTTTTTGAGCAATCCCTCAGAAGAAAACTGTGTTCATGTGATAAAGAGTTTGTTTTATGTGGCTACCGAAGATCCTGAAAAGTATGACTACGTCAGTGAAACATAATATAGGATCGTTCAGTGATATATGGCTGGATTGCAAGGATGTCATCGTCTCAGTTCTCACACCTAAAAATCTAACGTACATCTTGCAATCTCAACAAGTAAGTAATATGTTCATTTGTTGTTTATCTTTGTTTAGGCCCTCATTCTCCAAGCATTAAGCTTATCTAGTAATGTAACCGCTCTGCTGGCAGAGCTACTCGAACGAAATAGTTCCGTGAGTTTATCGTTTTCTATTCTGAATAAGTTTTTCAATTAGGTCATTGGTGAATTATCTACTCCAGTTGCTGTAGCGATTCTTCAGAAAATGGAAGATTCAGACTCATTCGAATCGGTTCTCAATTACATTTTTAAAAATAAAATTATTTTCTTCTTCAGATCGCAAAAGTGATATCTCGTCTTTGCTACAAGAAAGAAATCGCAGATGAGTTGATTTTCCGTGTGAACAAGTATACTAGCAGTGAAGCAAGATTTAGACTATATCAAGTAGTTGCTTTGATCTCTTTGTTGTGAAATGAACCACTTCAGGTGTTATTGTTCTCAATTCAGTTCGATACTTTTAACGAACGATTGTTACCACTGTTCGAGAGACTGAAAAAAGAACTGTCAGGTAAGAAAATCCAATATTTTACATGAAATACATATTATCCTTCCAGGTGATGTATTGGTACAATTGGCAGCTTTAGATTTACTCTCTGACATTGCAATTGCAAGCAATACTGGTGCTTCATTATTGACCGAAAGCAAAGTTCCCCAACAGGTTCATTCATTATATTAAACAGTTTCATAATGTACGTTTAGGTTTATGAAGTTCTGACATCCAGCCGGGACTCTCCTGATGGGGGTTTCCTGTTCACAGGTATCTTTCCGTTCTTCAAAATGTCTTCATGCCCTCTTAAGCAACAATTAAATTCTTTGGATGTCTCGGAAAATGCTACCCCGCTGTCTTGACTGAGTTTCCTGATTTTGTCCGATTGCTTTTCCACCAGGTTCGTATATAAGGTATCGATATTTTGATCATTCCTATTACTAGATTTCCAATTATGATGTATTAGATGCTAGTCAGCGTGTGCTTGTAGTAGAAACGTTTGCGTATGTAGCGTATTCCACTGACAGCAAGCTCATTCTTCAAAGTGTCTATAATGACCAATTAGACGTGGTGTTCAATTCATTGGGAACTGCCCTTAAGAGTGGCCCAATAGAGCTTCGCGCAAAAATTGTTGATGCCATCGAGATATTGTTCCGACACGGTTCGAATATTTTGCCGTCAGTTTCTAAAATGTGTTTTTAAGATGTCGATGACATTCTCTCAATCTGGTTCAAGAGCATTACTGAATTGGGAACAGCCATCAGTAAATTCTCTCTTATGCCATTCAGGGAGATAAGACTTGCGACATTATGCTTGCTTCGTACCCTCAGTACTTTAAGTGGTCCCATCGAGTACTTGTTGCGCAAGGAGAACGAAGAGTTAGTTTCAGGTCCTTTACTCAATAATAAGTTGTTTCAAGGTTCGTGGATTGGCTCTGCGATGCTACAGTAGAAACAGAATGGGAGTTGCAAGTAGTGAAACGTGAATGTATCCAGACCATTTTGAACCAAGATTACAAGTTCATCGATGATTCACTCCGAGCAAAATTGAGAAGTTACTTCGTGCGATCGGCTGCGGCTCCTGAAGTAGCAACTATGGGACAATAGACGAATGAATTTTCAAAACCTTTTTTTCTGATGACTCCATTTCTTTATATCTTCTAATATGAATTCTATAATACCTATCCGTTGTTTGATGAGCATAGTTTTGATGTTTCCGTTTCTGTTCAGGAGGTTTGAACCAAGGTGTCAATGGACAGAGTTCGAGATTTCCGAATAGTTTTACACAATGATGAGACTAAAGCTTTAAATAGTTCTGAACTTGTGAGTATCTTCTCACTCAGACAGGGTACACGATCTTTCAGATCAGTTATTGGAGAACAAGACTCGAGGATATTAAAGAAGGAGAATTGCTTATGATAAATCTGAAACGAAGTGCAAGACTTGTTGGACTAATATCATTGTGCGAAGTATAACCATCTTTCTCATATCACACCTCACCTCCAGATGTTTGTATCGACATATACCATTTATGTTCAAAAGTCAACTGTCACCTACGGACCATTTTGACCCGAAATGGATTCTTAACGACAACGAACTTTTTCTTAAAAATGAGAACGCAAGAGGCCATCCAGACATTTGTTATGTCATTACAACATCCGGTTCCACTGGTATTCCAAAAACTGTGGGCGTTACAAAGTCCTGCATTTGGGCGAATATCCAAGACTTTATGTACTGTTATACAATGCTTGTGTTTAGTTTGTTTGCTATATTGTTTATAGCGAAAGGTTCCAAATCACATCTTCGGACAAAGTTGCGTTTCTAACTTCTCTTTACTTTGACCCTTCTATAGTCGAGCTCTTTTTACCAATTTGTACAGGTGCGTTTATTATGCGCAGCTATGCTTCTAGAATCTTTTTTATTTTAGGAGCTACTTTACTCTTTTTCGATGATGAGTGTCGTTCATCTCCGGAGCAAGTTGATGTTGCTATCAGGAAGTATTGCCCTACTGTCCTACAGGTTGAACCTTTTGTATAGTTGTCTAGGAATAAGTTTATAGTTAACACCAAGTTTTCTGTGTTTACTAAGCGAAGATGCTCTTCATTTCATTCTGGGACCAGAGTCTCCATTGAGGATTCTTCTTGTTGGAGGGGAAAAGGTCAGACATCTTCATAGAAACTGCGAACCCGTTATGTTTTTTCCAGTTTCCACTGGAATTAGTAAAACGTTTTCGGCATCATGACTGCCGCACGAGAGTTTTCGATTGCTATGGTGTAACTGAAATGTCTTGCTGGGCCACAGTTTTCGAAGTTTCTCACGAATGCAATGAGGTTCACTTGGGAGATCCTATCAAAAATACCAATTTTCGGATAGCAAATGATAATGAGTTGGTATTAAGTACTTTGCTTTCGAATAGCTTGGTTTAAAAATGTTTTCCTTTAGCTGGGAACCGTTTGTGCTTTATAGACGGAAAGGAATGCTATGAAGCTCATACAGGAGACCTGGTAGAAATGTGTAATTTTGGAACACGAATAGTTGGTAGAAAAGATGACTTGGTATGTATTAGAGTCCGAGCTTCTAAGAGGGTCACCTACCTCAGATCAAATTGAATGGTGTTCGTTTCCATCCTGAGAGCCTTGTAAACCAGATTTTGGAGCATTTCCCCCATGTTCGGAATGCGAAACTAGTTGTATATAAACAGGTACTATTAATATCTCATTCACACGAGTCTCTTTTTTGCTCCAGAAGTTCCTTATTCTATTTTTGGTGGCAGACAAGGAATTGACGATGAAAGAGCTATCTCCCATATTTCCACCTTTGCTGTTTCCAACGAGAGTTATACATCTTGATTCTCTCCCGGTGACTCGGAATGGTGAGCATTCGTGAAATGGTCTTGTTGTAAAGTCTCGTACAGGGAAGATCGACGTGAGGAGTTTGCTTTCTTCGATCAACAATCCCCAGAACTTTACACATGATCTCCAAAAATTCTTGATAGAACGGAACATGAGATCAAAAGACATTCATTCGAAATCATTCGTGGAATTTGGTAATTAGTGTTGAGCGTTTTTTCTCCATTTGAATCTCCAGGAATCACATCAGTTGACGCGGCAGAACTGTCGTTGATTCTGAGAAACACAGAAGTTCTGCAAGATGTTTTATCGTCCCCTCTGACTGCTTACAGTTTTTTGCGCAAGTATAACGTTGAATTACTGAATGATATGGGTGAGAAACATTTTCAAAAGTTTTACAAACAGTCTCAGAATTCACAATCGTTCCTTGTGAGGTTCAAAGTATGGAGGAAAACTTTTTGAGGCTTACACTGGCTTACAATATGAAAAAATGTATCGATAGCACGCCGATCTCGCTCAAGTACGTTGCGAAATGTTTCGCTTCTTGAAAGCCATCAATTGCAGGATACAAGAAACTGATGTGATTATTGCCTGTTCTCATGCTGGTATTGTTGTCTGTATCTCTCTCAACAGTCTGCAAGTGGTTTGGAAAATAGTCTTACCAGCTCGTATCGAAGGCTCTCCTGCTCTTTGTGATACTTCTGTTTGTTGCATTGGTAAGCATCTGTAGATAACATCCGTCTGAATTCAGCTTAAGGTGGCTTCAATGGTGTTCTCTACTTCATCGATGTCGTAGACGGAAAGGTTGTTTGGGAATTCCAAACTTCTGATCAAATCAAAGGTACTGCAGTTGCCAATTCTCTGGCAGAGGTTTTTGTTATATCATATGACACATATCTCTACAAACTGAATTATAAGGTGAAAACAAACAGCAAGTCATTCGTGATTGAAAAAGTTATAGAATCATGAGATGATTTGGAAAACCAAACTAACAAGTGGTTCTTCTTCTCCTCCTGTCCTTGTTAAGAATGAAACTCATCTTCTGTGCTCGACGATAAAAGGAACTGTGGAATTGGTTGAAAGCGTATGTGTGGTTTGATATATGTTGTAACCCCTTGAAATCTAGGAATATGGGTACGTGCAGTATGTGTACACAGGAAAAGCTCCAATCTTCTCGCCAGCTCTAGTTCCTAATGAAAGTTATGCAATCATAACAAGTGTAGATGGCACTATTACCAAGCTTGATATTGAGAGAGGTATACAGGTGAGAGTTCATGTAGAATCACAAAATATTATACAACATTTGCTTGTTTTTCTGCTTTGTTTGTTACATTTAGCGTTGAAGATTCTTATGTTCCGAAATTTCTATAGCGCACTGTATTTAATCATATTGTGTTCATCGTGTCGCCTTAGAATTGTCTTCTTTTCACATACGTCAAAATTTGTTCGCGGAGACGCAAAAGAAACGTCTGTTGAGTCTTCGGTCACGCGCGGAACAGGAAGTTCAGCGTTTCTAAACATCTAAATATGTGAAAAGCACTAATCACACCATACAAGCTTACTTGTTGTAGATAAGCCAGGCGGGAGTTCAAGAGCCCATATTCTCTCAAGCCTTTTCAATAGGAGACCTTATCATTATCACAACACAGAAAGGCGGAATTTTCGTTTTCAATACTGAGCTCTTTTTAGTTTCGTGAGTTCTCGGTGAATATTAGTTTCTGATTTCACTTTTCAGTTCTTTCAAACTACGAGATTCATCTTTTGTAAAGTCTGTTTTTGAGTTTTCACCAACACACTTAGGGCTAATATCTACGAACGGACGAATGTACAAGTTCGAGAAAACAATACTTGAGTTCGTTCATAGTAATACTAATATGGAAGTAATTGTGTTTAAGGATGTCTTCAAGTGAATTAAGAACTATCACCTTCGATTACTGCCAGCTAGCCGCTGGTCAAATATTCTCACATCCGTGCTTGACTTCTGACAACAGTGCCTGTTTGCTCGTCGTTGGGAGTCGTGATGACTGGCTACGATGTTGGCGGAAATAAAACGTGTTTGAAAGAGAATAGGTCACGAAAATCCTAAGAGGACGTGGAAGGCGGGGTGAAGAGCTCCGGGTGTTCCGTGATTATTCATCGTGCTTCTCGATTAACTCTGCTCCTCCCTATACACTCTGGTCTCTCTCTCGTTTCATCTGTCTTCATCGTTTTGTCTGCTTTTTGCTGCAATTGTGTTTTACCTCTGTTCACATCGCTTCAATCGTCTCGCAACTCCGTTGGGCGTGGTCATAGCCTAAGGGTGTCAGGAGGCGTGGTTCGAAGGAGGTCCCGTCATCTTCCGCATGGATATGATACAGCTGAACCAAGGTCCTATACTCTTTCAGAACAAAACATTGTTAGATATGGGTCCGCGGATCGAAGATAAAGTTTGTTAATTTCCATTCAGTTATTCTTCTTTATTATCACGTATGTTTCATATCTTATGTTGTTTCTTCAGCCTCAACGATTAGAAATGAAAATGGATGTTGATGAAGTTGTTCGTATCGAACGACCAACTCCAAAATATCCAGATGGTAGACGTACCAGTGCTCCAGCAATACTGTGGAGTGCTTCTAGTTTCCTTAATGAGCAGGTATGTTGAGTTTCTTGAGCTGTTTTGACTTTGAAACTTTCTAGCCCACTACTTCGAACGTTGATTCGATCAATTTGTTACAACAATTACTAGAAAAACAGAGATGTACTTCTTCCAGTGAATCACCTAGTCCTGATTCAGGTTATTTTTGTTTTTCTTTCATGTTTTTCTTAACTTTTTCCTGTTAAGGTATATCAATCGAGACTGAAGTTAGTACTTCTCCAATTGATCTTCACAAACCTTCCTTCAGCAGCATATCCTCTGCTAACACAACCTCACCGTTCGTGCCCGCAACAGGCAATAATATTTTGAACTCCCAATTAGGTAATGACAGTTTCACAGTGAACAATCGATAATTTGATTCATGTTAGGACAACCCTCGTTAGCTCCATCAAACTCGCTGAAGCCCAGCATACCCACTGTTTCCAATACAAGTAATATTAATGGATCTCTGCCTTCCTTATTATGGCCATGGTTAAATGGTTAGTTTGCTTACTTTCTCGTCTTCGTGAAATATTATCGAGTTTTACTCAGTCGTGTGGGAATGACAATGGTTTGTCTAGTAGTGGTTTGATTAGTACTATCTTGCTCTCGTACCGTTTCCTTATACAACATCTCTTGTTATTATACGAAGTTTTAAACAACTTCGCGCTACTGAAACTTCTCTCCTTTTCTCTCTCTCTCGCAATAGGTTGAGCCCCTTCTTGAACCTGAGTGCAACCCGAGTTTTTGACTTTTCAAAGGACAATCGGCGCGTGTCCACTTTGTTTGCTCATGCTTGCGATAGTAACACATCTACGAATCTCCGTTTCTCTCTTGCATCACCTGTGTCTCTTCCTTCTCTTCGTCTTTGATTGATTAATACAATACTTTGTCGATCTCTTCCTTATATACATAGCATCCCTCACGAGTTTGTCCTCTATAATATGAAGCTTTCTTAAAACTGCACCTTTTAAGCAACGAAAAGGGAGCTTTAATAACATTCTGATCTTGTCCCAATCTGATACTGAAGTGGAAAATCAAAAATTGTCTGAAGCATAGTAGATTGATGAAGTGTAAAAGACTTTTGACCTCCTTTCTGGTAACCAGTAGATAAACATGCTTGTAAAGCTGAGTTAAAAAACTTATTGTGCGATTTACCAAAATACACTTGTTGCCATATCCTTATTTCTTCGATATCTAGTTTGAAATTTAACTAGTTTATCCTCAATCATTCCCTTCTCGTAAGTTCTTGTTCTTCGTCTTAATTTTGGATAGTTGAGTAGGTCTCAGGAAAATCTTTATTTTCCAAAATAATTCGAACAAGACTCCCTCTCCATAAACTTATCTTCCCGTCTTCACTTTGTGTACAAATCTCTGTATCGACTGTCCGTTCTAGAAATATTAAAACATAACTTTAAAAGAGAAGACTCAAGCGGATGTATGATTGTTCTATTGAAAAAGTGGACAAAATCGCGCATATAAAGGGTATGAATAGTCTTAGTGCGCTTGAGCGACCAGCTAGGGATCCGGAAACGACTGCGAGCTGACCAGTTACATAGGAAATCTGGGGTCATTTCTTTTTAACATTATACTTCTGGAATTCGCTTTCCTCACGAACAAAAAACTGGCGTCAATTTCATAGTGAGGGAGTTGGGAATTTTGAACACTTTTCACTTAGTTCTCATAATTGTTGGTTTGAGTGTGGTATTCGCATTGAACCTTGTCTCCTGAATCGTCGCGAGAAAATTGTTTTTATTAATCATCCTTCTTCAGAAACTCGCCTAGTTAATCCTTGGTTGTCTGCGGCTCTTCTCTGGCCTCCGGCGGCTGCAGCTGCTCAACCTCATCAAGATGCGTCTGCCATGGCTGCTCCAACAGCTTTACGTCCACCCACCTCAAATATTTTATCGCCTAGTTAGTAGATTAATTCTCACACTTGGCTCATTTCCTATCTAGGTTTCCCCCCTCATTCACTAACTGCTGCAACTGGAGCTCCTATGTTTCCTGATCCTTTATTTCCGGGAAATGCTACTACGACTGTTTCAACATCTTCAAAGCCATCTGGCAGTTTCTACAGTCTGCCGTACATGTTCGAAGCGAGAAGGTTTGACCATAGCCGCGAAAGTGTTTTATGTTATCCTTATGCAGGTACAGCGAACCGGTTCCACCTCCTGCCCATTTAATAACACAAAGAAGAAAAAGTAGAGATGGTTAGTGAAAGCGTTCCGCCGTTCTTACTTTCATTCATGTTCAGGACAAGTTACATATTTGTGGGAGTTCTTGCTCAGGCTCCTTCAAGATCGTGAATATAGTCCCAAATTCATTAAATGGATTGATCAAGCAAAGGTATTCAAAACATAATTGATCTTCCAATTACATAACGATATCTAGGGGATTTTCAAACTCGTTGATTCTAAAGCAGTTTCTCGCTTGTGGGGATTACATAAGAACAAACCTGGAATGAATTATGAAACAATGGGAAGAGCTCTCAGGTGGGTATTTCAATGTATACATTCAATCATCTCCGCATTTAGGTATTACTACCAAAGAGGTATTCTTCAGAAAGTAGATGGACAAAGACTTGTTTATCAGTTCGTAGATGTGCCCAAGGAATCGTTCCAGGTAGCAAGATCTTTATAAGAATGAATGTGAAACTCTATTACAGGACTCTCCATTTGATTCTGGTACTGATTCAGCAGGATCGGATGCTTTTGAGGATCCTGAGAGCCCAACAGCACTTAGTGAGGAAGTGTCCCAAGTCACGTGTACATAACTTGCTTTAACTCGTATGGTATGTAAAATATTGTATTTCATCTCGTGTTTATAAACTACTGGCTATATCTGTGATCTTGACAAGCAGCACTTTATAGGTTTTGATTCCCTTTAGCTAGTAGAGTGTCGTACATATCTGAACTGTGTTTATCAGATTTTGTTACTGTTTTAATAATAAGAAGTTGACGCTTGCTTAGATATGATTTATGCATTTTGGTCGATAAAACCAACAAAAGTGAGCAACAATGTAAGGCCTTAATCAACAAGTGTAATCGTATAATACAAAGTCTTAAAGATAAGTAATGAGATCACGTTTTACGTTTTATGGAAAGTATTCAGTTAGCTTTGGAACGTCGCGGGAAACGTCTAGGTTCTATCTTCTGACTCCTCCTCGCTTTGACAGGAGAAGACAATCTGCAAAGAACAATTTGAGGGGTGAAAGGGATTAGTGACAAACTTCGACAATTCCATGTTCGCTGAAGACTTCCTCCGAAGAGATATGTTTGATCTAAAAATTCGACTATAAACACTCGATACACTTCAAGCAATACCTTTTAACAGGTGAAACCGAGCTTTGAATTCTGAGTTTCTTAGGTTCAAGCATCTTTTTTACAGCATTACTGGAACAAGTACGTAATGTAGAGAAGTAACGAGAACGACTACTCACGTATTCGAGGTTTTTTCTTGCATTTTTACAGGCGGCTCTTGAGTTGTTTCACCCTCTTTAGGAGACGACGAAGACTTATTCTTTAAAATTTCACGATCAGATTCTTCCATTAAAGACTAAACAACAGTTATAAGTTTATGGCATACTCATCCAACCTCCACAATCTCACAAAAAGTGTCCACAACTCGTTGACTAAGTGGTACACCAACGGCTGTTTGTTCCCAAATGTTTTCCAAAATTTTCCATTGTGTAACTAGCTCACGGTGTTTCTCTTTCTCTCGCTTCACTACCAAATAAAGTAAAGAACGACCCTATGTTCAAAGGGTTAGGTAAAGACATTTTTGAGAAATTTACCATATCTAGAGATTTCTGAATTCTTCCTGATTCCAGATTCAGTCTTGCCGTCATGACCGAATCTCTACTACGTTCAACATCGCCAGGCTGAGGAAGTTTAACAATTGGAACATCAACAGTCAACTATAACGAAAAGGTTACGATAAGAAGAGCCATGGAGAACTACTTTGATTTCATCATGAGGATTACGAATAAGAGGCTTTCCCTTGTTGTCAAAACGTTTCTGTTTCCAATACTCATAGATATCAGACACAATCAATTTATCCAGTCCGGATCTTAAGGATATGGATAAGTTACAGCCTAATATGGCAATCACGAACCGTTTTGCGATCATCTCGTAATCAACATGTAAGTAGAAAATATCTTCCAACTTCTTTAACTCTTGATTATCCTTATCATCCTGTTCTTCTTCCGCCCACTTCTAAATCAAGGAAATGACAAAATAAAGAGAAAACACAAGATACCTTTCCCGTTTCTCTCTTTCCTGAATGACGAGGACAGTAGCTCAGAAACCTAACTGCATCTATTTCAGGATTTGGGTCCTAGGAAATTATTTTATAAGAAACCATTGGAGACTGCAATCAAACCTGATCAATCCTCATCTCCAGACCTCTTCTCAAACCACATGTTACATGGAATGCAGTAGTACAGCTGGGATAAGTGCATTGTATGCAAGCTCCTTGACGGGTATCACATACACAACATCTGTGAAAAACAATTCATACGGTATTACAGCTAAAACAAACTTCATCTGCCAGCGATCATCGGGAATTTCATCGAGAGATGTTATTGGTTCACGCAACTCGGCATTACCAAACCTTAATGAAAGCAATGAGAACCAAACAAAGATCGAAGCCTTACCGGCATTCTGGAATCCAAAGAGCACAAGCTACATGGGCCCAACGACACTTCCCATCTTCAAACTGCTTAGTGCATTTCAAAGCACCTCCTCTAGTAGGACATAACAAACAAGGTGGGGAAAACCCATAACCAAGAGCACATTTTTGACAAATCCACTCGTCTTCAGGAAGAACATTCAAACCATAACAAGACATGTGTACACACATGTTGCATCCGTCGCAGAAAACCATACTGTCATCTGGTTCGGATTCAGCCTTAACATTTCAGATAAAAAGGTAAACTTTCGAAATAGAACTTACGCCACGACAAATGTCGCAAGCAGCCTCTTCATCGATTCCATCAAAGTTCGGGGAATGTAAAGGGGCTATCAACAACTCATGAATTCTCTTGAAGAGCAAACTTATAAAAGAAAAAAGTAAGGCAATTACCTCATAACAACTTATTTCAAGCATGTCCATTACTATCATAAACGTAACCATATCGATTTTTTTCTGACCACGGTATGCTTTGTTCTATTTTTACAGAGATGTTTTAATTAGTTGAACTAACAACGATACCTGGTTTATATCTTTCAACCAAATTTCATCCATACGATCGGCTTGATACAATCTCCTTTTTGGGAGAATTGTACAAGCATGCGTAGCTGGAGTAACATAGCTGAGGGGAGCAGAACCTTCAGGGCGAATCCCGATGTATTTTGCAGGAAGGCCAAAACGTCCACGAGAAGGTAACTTCATCTCATTCAGGGCGACTTTGAAATATGGCAGAGATTTAGGGTTCATCGGTACTTGTACGCCATGATTCCACTCTTCTCTCCATCTACATGTATGTTTAGGAAATACTAGTGAATTATAATGAGTTACCTATCAGTCAGTCTGAGAACACCATTGCTTAAGCCACACACATCATCACTATCTTCACTTAGATCTTCATGGTTTCGCAAACTATGTATCAAGTCTGTTCTATACAACTCTGCAGGTCTGCCATCTATATCGGAATGAACTCAATAGCGAACAATATGGATTGCATACCATTTTGTACAATATAAAACTTCTTTTTCTTATTCAAAGACTCCGACACATTATCTTCTTCCTCCGAACTTTCAATGATTCTAAACATTATCCTTTCAATAATGCAAGCGAGAGATGTTTACGATACCTTCTACTGTCGTCATCAGACGAGGAGTCTGAGAAATCATCCTCATCACCAGATAAAGTAAGATTAGAGTCGCCATGCACTTAAAACATATGTTTAGATAGGAAAGATTGCATTCATTACTTCGCCCCGGCTCTTTTCGAATATCAGAGCTTTTGTCACTTAAACGACGTCGTTTAATTTGAACAACTTCACAATTCTCATCATCATATTGCACTTTAAACTTTTTTGACGTCCGTATATCACATTCTTCCTCTGAATTCATTTTAGTTTTTTGTTTTCACTTGTTGTTAACGAACTTTTCGTATCATTTTTGCGGAGCCGTCTTGGAGACGTTGCTGAATCTACACTTTCTATTTTCTTATTTATGCGCAGTTTGTTATTATCTGGTGGTATGGAACCAGAAAAACTGGGAGCTGCAGGAGGCATTCCTTGGCTTAGGAGAGCCGAAGGCAACCGCAATACATACGATAATATATTAATGTTCCAAATCTGAAAGGACTACATTTAAGATTGAGTATTGAGGATTTAGGATGAGTCACTTGATATTTAAATTTTTTTAAGCTTGCAATGTTAGATAACGACAGAATAATTATAAATTATCAAAAAATTCATTTAAAAATAAAGCTGCCAGCGAAAAAAAAATTTGAAACGCACGTTCCGCGACGCGTGAGGTGGGCGGTCGAGGCGGTAGTCTGCGAATCTAACTATCACATATGCATCGATGTTTTATACTATGCTATTGATCATTTAATAATAATTATGTATTGTTTGGGTAGATATGTATTGGTTGAAATATAAGTATTGATAACTGTTGGAATCGTTTTCTTTATTTAATTTTGAAATTGTGGCCGCATAGCTCATATGCGGAGGTTATAATTATTTTCTTTTTGCAGATGGTAGAGGAAAAGATTGAAACTAATTCCGTTATAACAACAGATATTAGCACTGCTCCACCCGATCTAGCTTCTACTTGTGTGACCCCTTCTGAAGACCTCAAACCTGCTATAGCTAATGGCTCGAACGCAGAAGGGATAACTAGCGAAGATCGTTCGCGCGAGAAGGGTGGGCGTGGGGAGGATAGGGATGACGTATGCCGTGATTTTTTAAAAAATATTTGTAATCGTGGCTCACGTTGCAAGTTCTATCATCCGCCAGAAACCCAAGTGCGTAACGATGAGACCATCAATTTCTGCATTGACTACCAGGTGCGGCTTTCGCCTTTTTTTGTATGCGTTTGCGTCCAAAACGATGATAAATTTTAATAAGTTTTCGCTTTTTAGAACCGTGGGTGTATGCGAGACAACTGCCGATTTGTTCATGCAGCGCGCGAAGAAGTGGAGCGTTACAAGCATACGCGCGAAGTTACTCTTCCGCTAGCTCGAGCCATTGCTGCTGTTACCCAAGGAGATTCTATAGCTGGAATTCCTGTTTGCAAGGAGTTTCAATCTGGAAAATGCGCACGCGGAGCTGCTCGCTGTCGCTATTGGCATGTTAATATCGAAGAGGAACGTGATAGGAGGTTGCGTGGATTACCACCTAGTGGTGGACCGGGTGGTAGATTTGGAGGTCCCATAGGCGGAAATGGACGTTTCTGTCCCCCGGGACCAATGTTTGGAGGGCCAGTAATGCCAGGAATGCGGCGACCTGGACCTGCGTTAGATGGACCATTTGAGAAAAGGCCAAGGATCGATGATCAGCGTATAATGGATTTGGAAAGGAAGAACGCAGAGCTAATGAAAGAACTAGAAGTTTTAAAGCGCGAACTACAACGGGAACATGAACGATACGAAGATTTGTATGCTTTATTTCGCCAACAAGGAGGTCTCAATGTGGGGGCAGTGCCGGTCCCAACACCGCCGATGTCAAAACCAGGGGCACCCCCTTCTGTATATGCGCCATATGGAGGATGGAATTCTAGTGCAATGAGTGGATGGCAGTGATGTGTGTATATTATTTGCTCTTTCTTGTTCCGTTTTGATCTTTTTCATGCGTGTTGTTATATTTCCGTGATCTTTTGTTTTTCTTTTTGTTATTTAAGATGATAGGTTTTTTTTTGAGATTTTATATTTGGGCAATACGAAGCTTCTTTCTTCGAGGCCCACTGGTACGGTTTAGGCCGATAGTCCTTGTACACGTGTATGCGTTGTTGAATTCATTCCGTTGTTGCTCCATTGTATTGAATATCACTTTCAAAGAATGTAAATGATTTATTGAATTATGCTTATATTAATATTATTATAGTCTCGAAATAACCCGGTTACTCGTTCGATATTTCGAAAAAGGACCGTCTACATCTCATGAAATTTCAAAACAGGCAATTCGAGTAGGCAACATAGAATATATTTGAAAGATTAGTGCAGAAGCATAGCACAAGAAGGTATAACCACTTTCAGAGAATACTGCAGTGTTTCTTGATTCCTCGTTTCTTCGTTCTGGAGCCACTTGTTCCTGCATCATGACCCGCGCCTCCGTTTCCTAGAGTGCCTCCCTTTCTTCTTTTAATTTCCCGCATCAAATCGTAGAACACCTAAGACAGATTATGATTTGTCATTCGCAGGAAAGCAAACACCTTGTCGACATTTTCTCTTCGTTTGGCAGAAGTTTCAATATACATCACGCCCCATTGCTCAGCTCTTAATAAAATGCATATTATAAGTTATACAATTCAAGATACCTTTGTCTGGCAAGTTCTAGAGGTACGAGACGGTCTTCTCTCATATCGGCTTTGTTACCAACTAGAATGATCGGTACCGAGTTGTCTGAGTTCTTTACTCGAAGAATTTGCTCACTTCAAGGAATCATGTATAAGAGATCATGAATTGTTAGTTTACCGGAATTCGTTGGTTGCTTCAAATGATTCCATATCCAAGATTGAGAAAACACAAATGAATCCTTCTCCACTGCGGTAATAATTATCTCTTGAATATCGATTGTAATATCTTACTACTTTACAACGATACCTAATAGCAGAATAATCTTCTTGGCCAGCAGTATCCAAGATATCTATTGAGCACTCTTCTCCATCGAGAGCAACTTTCTTACGATATGAATCTGCTTTCGTTGGTTCGTACTCTTCCACAAACTGAATCATACAATCTCAAATTGGATAAATAGTCATTATCAAACCTCGTCATACATAAATTGAAGGGTTAGAGCTGATTTACCTACTCCTCCACTTCCTACCATAATTACCTCAAAAAAAATATTGTAAAAGGAAATTTGAAGTAGTTACCTTGTGAACAACAGGTGCATTCCCTCCTGGAGGAGCAGCAGAACTTTGTTTCTTCACGTTCGACATTCCTATAATAGAAAAATGATAAATGAAACCTTTTATACATGACGTATGACTAATCGCCGTTGTGGCTCATCGACGCCGTCTGGCCGAAAATTAAGTCGTAATACTCGCAGACACTACGCCAAATTACGAACAAGATTTAAAAACTAGACGGAAAATCTAATTTCGTTGACTAGAGTTTCAAGAAAAAGCAACATTTAGCAAAAATATGGAAGAGCCAAGAAGAGGACGTTGAATTATTGTTTGGCAATGAGAATTCCAAACCATACCAAGTTGTGGTGGAATTCAAAGCATATTATTTTGTTTTGAACGGAACGAAAAATGTTTGAATTCTTTTCTTACCTTCAATGTCATTTTCAAAACAGTTGGACTCTCCTTTGATAAAGGAGACCAATAGTAGAAAACGGTTTTTTATAAAGGACCAAACACGCCGGCATATATTTCCACAGGTAAGCATAGCAAATGAGTATAGGATTGCTTTTATCTGTGTTGAGCTTGCCTATCGTTGCTATTGGCAACGCTTTTTTCCATGCAGGCAAAGTACACCCAATAGGCGTGGTTTGGAGAACCTTCGTTCTTCAAATGGAAATAAAGTTAAAGGTATTGGTCAGTATATGTTTAGAGGGTCTCGTTATTTGGACAACTGCTCGCCTCAGCAAAATTGTAAATACAAAGAAAGCGAGATAATAATATGCAAAGCAAGCAAAGTAGTGATATGAGTAATCAAATATAATTCATTACTACTTTGAAATTTATATTCTATTCTAAGAGGTTCGAATATATTTGGAGGGAACCCAAATAACTGGTTTACGATATTTCAGAGCGAGTATTCGACTATTTAATGGAAATCCGCTTATGTCATAGGAAGGATTGAATAGCAAGTAAATGATCTTCCAAACAACCGGATATTCCAAAAGTGGTAAAAATAAAAATTATATTTGTGGTAAAGAGTATGCGTTGATTTTTTTTTTCAGCCCATCTTTTCGTATACTTTTCTCGGCTGATGATGCAACGACCGTGTGTGTAGTTGATTAATAACGAACGTAAAAGGAAATAGATATCAAGACATTCAATGCGCTTTCTGATAAACTGAAGCATGATGCCAGATTGGTCAACTTGCGCAGTCATGGTGGTCGGAATTAAGTTTGTATAGATTATGAGTTAACATCTTGCTATTGCATTTCCAGCGATAGTTGGTGTGTTAATTTCTTTAGGAATTGACAAAATGCTACAAGAAGGCGCAATTGGGATGAAATGGGGCGCATGTACAGCTACATCAAAGCAAAATACGACATTAATCAAGAGAAGTTAGTTGTTCATTCTACGACAAGATTGATGCAATTTATGATTAATAGTACTAAAAAATCGGAGAGTACGAACCTGGAAAGAAGCAGTTCTTCTTCCATTCGAACGTAAGGAGAGCTATTGTTTTCTACCTTTGTTACTTCGCATCATGAAGTTTTGAACTTCAGATAGTTTCAGATAGCGATCATCGTTTTTTACGTACAGCAGTTTGCAGTACTTCTGGAATTTCTGTTATCTGAGTATTTATGCAGGTGTTTTCGTTTTCCAACTTTTGAAACTGACTAAAGCACTTGTCCTTCTATAATCCATTACTGTTGTCATACTGTTCTGCAGCCTAATCGTTTGATTTCATAACTACCCCTTTAGTGTTATTCAGACATGTTTGCTGATAGTTGGCATTCTCATGTTCTTCTACTACTTTATGGCACGATTGTGAATGGGATGAGTCAGTTATCTGTTATCACTCGGTTTATTCAGGGTTGTACAAAGCGAGAGCAATCGTATATGTAAAAGTGATCTGAATATCCTTGTTTCGCAACCTGCAACGATTATAGTTCTCAATGTTTATGATCTGTCGAATTGAAAGAGGGATGAATGCAATATATTCCATATAGTTTACATTCAAAAATCGTTGTTACTCCTACTTATCCCATTGTTCCATATGAGCAAAGATACTATTCAAGTAAGTGACCTCTCTTGACTACCGCTTTGGAGTTTGGCCATTATCATCTAATACACTGTCACAACTCTCCATTTACTATAATTTTGTTTTATTTTCATAAGTACAATAATAAACATTATTCAAACACTTCTTATCATTATCTCAACGGCTATTTATATTAGATGATTACTTGTTTATGGTTTGTGATTAGTATTGTTTTACTATTCTTCTTGTATACGTTCTAGCTGCTGGTACCATTTCGATATCAGTTCATTCACACTGTTTCCTCTTGGAGGAGGATTAGGAGGAGTCCATTGGATTGGGTTGGCTTCATTACCAGGAAGATCAGGTGTAAAGACAGTAGTGAAATCCATCAGATTCTCATAAGGTGGAGGTGGTTCTGGAAGTGTGAATGTTCGCGGTAGCGCCATAGGGCCTTGAGGTACGGCATGACTTGGCTTTGGTGGAATCGCAAAGGGAGCTAAGTCGAAAAGAATAAGAAATTTTTTCGTTAAAGTCCTTACTGTTTCCAGGTAAAATACTCTGTTGTAATTTACTCATGAGGTTCAACTTCTCTGTCTGTCGAGTTGTCACATACTCGCACACTCTCTGTTCAAGGCGGACAAGAACAGGAGTGAGCTCTTTACATATCTGTAACGAATTGGAAAATAATCCTTTTTCTGTATAACATACCTTGGCATTGTCTTCCAAGGTGGATTTCAACTCTTGGAACACATCATATCCTTCGTTCATCTGCTGAAGAAATTGCTCCATCTCTGCATCATCAGGATAGCGAGGTATCTCACCGATGAAGACTCTATTCCATTTCTAGTGAACGCTGAAGCTTATGATATAATGGTCAATGTTCACCTGGATTTCTTCAAGAACATTTTCTTGGTCTTTGATAGAGGCATTGATCTTTTCTTTCAGTGGGCTCAACATCTGATCGACCTGCTTCTCAGAAATGCTCTCTTCATTCAGTAACTGAGTTTCTGATAAAGCTTTCAAAAAATCGTTGGCGATGCCATGGCCATTTGATTTCAACTCCTGAAGCTCATTAGTAGAACTCGTTCTAAAACATTGCTACTACCTCCACAATGGTTTGACGAGCTGTCCTGATGCCCTGTACATGGTTCATCAAGCCTTTCAGCTTCTGAATAGTTTCAGAAGTGCCTCGACTGAACTCTGATTGATGATCAGGAATGCATGAGTTCAACTCATTCTGATTAGAGATATAAAGTATTTTGAAGGAGATGAGAACGAACCTGGTTACCGAGCAACTTCATGTCAGCACTGTTGTCAGGGAACATATTACGAACCATTTTTTCGGTTATGAAGAATGAGTTTATTATATTTCTATGTTCCTTGATTTCCTACAGTCAACATAGAGGAGCACTCGGCTGTTCTCTCGCTACCTGTGTCAAACTATTGCTGAGCTGATCAGTCTTCATTCCTGACCATTTCATTCCGAACTGTTTACACAGGCTCTCATCGGTTTCTTGTTCTTTAGTAAGAACTTTGTTGGCCTGGAAAGAGTGTGAATGTTAAAAACATTTGGAAGAGAGTTACTTCATCTAAGATTTGCTCGTTAAATTTGAACAATGGGTAAAACTCTTTGATCAAGCGCAACAGTTCTGAATGGCGCCCCAACTGTTTCATCTATACGAGACAATGTCCCACACATATTAAATATGAAATGCGAACCATATGTGATTTTTGTTTTATTGTTCTCAGGAGAGCTTCTGATTTTATGACATCATCCAATGCGGCAGGTAGATTAAGCGATTTGAGAGTTCTGAAAATTGCTTAGTACAGCTTTTATAGATTTGAAACTGTACTCGTCGAGAAGCTGTGTCTGGTTCGTTAAATTATTTAATTCTCTTTTAACGAAATCTTTTTTATGTTTCTGATACGCTGGCAAAGTTTTCAAGACTTGAACAGTAACGAGATTGGCGAACATGTCTGAAACTTAATGTTCACTTCGCTAACTGACGCAGATATTAACCGGTGAATAATGAAGATAACGGTTTGGGCAGAGACCAGGCATTGGCGAGAACAGTTGGAGAAACAGCTGGTAAAGTTTCAAAATCAGGAATTTCTTCGTCGAACTGAACAATGAGAAGGTTGAAGACGAGCTCAAACTATTCATACAATGAGCTGGTTTGCTTTCCGAGCGCTTTCTAAGGCGTTATACACGTTTCTCATAGCAGCTTCAAGGTATTCAGATGAGTCATACCTGAACCTCTCTGTAATATTGCCTTCATTTTGAACTGACCGTGTTGAAACTTCCATCATCAATACGGAAGCTTTTTTCAACCGAGATATTTGAGATCCTATTCTAGTTTCTTCTCTATCTAAAGCTCCTTGATGGTAGTTCATTAGTGCTTGATAAGCGATGGATTTGCCCTTGACGGTTGATATCCATTTCTATGAACAAGATAGTTGGATATCCATTTGAATAGCTTTGTACCCTTTTCCATATGCCTCGAACAGTTTCGTTTGTCATGACTTCAAGAGCTTCCCAGTACATATAACTGACACACGCAGCAATCTCAGCCAACTCTCCCTGGTTCTGGCTAACTGAAAATTTTAACTATTTGCTTGATCGTGTGAATGCTGGACCTTTCGATGCGTTAATGTAATAACATTCTTGAGCTTGGGCAATGAGTAGAGGAACTAGAGAACGAAGAGTTCCGGGAGAAAGATCTGGATCACAGTCTTTCTGTATTGAACTGAGAACCAGCGATCGAAGATGAGAAAACACTCCTGATCATTCGATTTAATCATCAAAATAAGGAGAATATATTCCAACCAGCCGCTTTTTGGAACATAATTGCTGCAGTTCTTATTTCCTCCTCTGTATTCATAGGCTGATCAGCACCGATTTGAGAGTAAAGGCATCCACAATTGAAGAGCACAAAAGCTCGTTCAAGGGCGAGACTTGAAATATAATGAGTTGCCTGAAACATTACGTAGATGTTTACAAGTAAGAAAATTTAACCGGTTTTTTGCATATGAACCTTCTCTTACAGAAAGCGTCTTTCCATTTGAATATTATGGGATTTTGAGTTGGAGAAATGACGATCTTATTCTCAATTGCAACAAGCTGATCATAGTATCTTAGAAAGAAGGTTAGTGAGGCGATTAAGCTATGCTCAACCTTGTAACGACGTCGATTCCTGACTGTTGATGATCCAGAGGTTGCACAACAGCTCTAGATCTAAGTTTACTCAGCTCCTATCATGATATGGAATAAAATCTTTAGATTAACACTTACTTTAGCTGCACTAATGATTTCGAATTTGTGACCGTCATTCGTGTTATAAACAGAATCAATATAAGATGCCAAGGGAGATGCCAGGTCGACTTCTTCAGTTAGTTTACGCGGAATGGCAAAGAAGTTGTACCATGACATTTTATTTTATGTAGAGTGAGATTCAGATAACAACTTATGGAAGTAAATAAGTAAAGTAAAGCGGAAAATTACTTTCTTACTTTCTTTATATACGTCTTATCATTTTACAAATATTTAGACAATATTCAATCTGGCATGAATTTTTAGTTTTAGTAATCGTTTTATAATCGTATAGTAAGCTCATTGAATTACGCATTAAATGAACTAAAAGCAGAAAGCTGTATGACAGGTATTTTTTCAAATTTCCTTTTTGCTTAATCACTCTTCGTATGGTTGACCCGATTGGATATGGCTCTCGACACCGAAGCAGCAACCGTTCATGCCTTGCCCCGGATCGTTATTACTCTGTATATTGAACGTGTACTTTGATAGAACTTCATGGAACTATCCCAATTGATTTCTCTCATTTGCTCTTCATCGATTGGAAGCTGGCCTAACAGGTTTGGCTGAGGTTGTTGCCGCTTTCAATTAGTTTCTTTTTTCTTTTTCTTTTGTACGATTTGTTAAGCTCTGTGACCCTTCTTCCTCCACCTGTGTAGCAAGGCAAATCACTTCTCGCTCGGCACCTTCGTTGCTGCACATAGAGATTCCAAGATCAATTTGGTTTCATGATACGCGACTCCAGAAGTTTTTAGTGAAACGAGTTCCGAATCTGTTATATCATTATGAATCCATTTTCGTTTCAGTCCGTTCATTGGCAGCTACTCATGTTCATCATCGAACCTATTGTTCATGACCATCCAAGGGACTTGGAAGTGAACGTTAGGACCAAACGCCTCCTAATTCTTTCAAATTTTGTTTTCAGTTTATCAAGAAGTGTTCACCGCTTCCTTGTCCTGAATAGATCCAACGAAGTGAATACGTAGCAGGTAAGGATGAAAGTTCCGTGAAAGCCAATCATATGTTCTCAGATTCGAAGGCCGGAAAGGAATCTGTTACAGCTTCAAGGAGGATGAGATCAACGACGATGGAGGACAAGGATACCCCTTTCCCATCCCTCCCAGTGCTACCGATGCCTGAGGGCTCCAGACTTACCGACCGTGCCGTCCGTTTCGACCTGGCCGCGGAAGAGATTGCGGGCCAGTTCTATAGTCTGTTGGGAAAGGGGCAGGAGCCTAGNCAGGGGACTTGGAAGTTCATCGTACGTTTTAGTTCTCACTTCCAACTAATCGTTATCTGTTCAGTCGATCCAGATGTGTTCACTGCTTCCTTGTCCTGTTGGGATTTGTTAAAGTGAAGGAGTACCAGGTAAGAAGGAGAAATGAGAATAAGCTAAGGGTTTTCTTTATAGATTTACAAATGGAGTGTGATCTGCTACTGTTTGCTGGAGGATAAGATCAACGACGATGGAGGACAAGGATACCCCTTTCCCATCCCTCCCAGTGCTACCGATGCCTGAGGATCCCAGACTTACTGACCGTGCCGTCCGTTTCAACCTGGCCGCGGAAGAGATTGCGGGCCAGTTCCATAGTCTGTTGGGAAAGGGGCAGGAGCCTAGACTAATGAGATNATTGCGGGCCAGTTCCATAGTCTGTTGGGAAAGGGGCAGGAGCCTAGACTAATGAGATCCCAGGGGGGTTTCAGCGGCCTGGTCTAGGTTCCTTAGGGCCCGTCCTCTCGGCTCTCTGAGGCTCAAGGTTTCTGAAGATATGAGTAGACCTAAAACTTCTTTTTCGAATTTTGATTTGAAATTGGAAGTATTTAGTTTGCTTTTATTGTTCGGGAAGGTGTTGTTGCTCAGGGAAACAAGCTGTGGGGACGCAGGGGGGAGAGCTTCTCGCGGGGACCCCGAAAATGGCGTTTTTTGTCGACATCGTTTTTTAGCGATGTCGGCGAAAAACGCCATTTTCGGGGTCTCCGCGAGAAAAGCTCTCCTCCGGGGGCTGGAAAGGAAGGGTTTTAATTTNTCGGGGTCTCCGCGAGAAAAGCTCTCCTCCGGGGGCTGGAAAGGAAGGGTTTTAATTTTTTTTTATTCATGAAAAAAATGGCGATGCCCGCCTGTTGCATTTGAGAATTCCCTTTCCCCATTTGAGAGGAAGGAGAACACCTTTCTCCCTCTTTAAGAGAGGGATCGAGAGTTCTCCTCCCTCTCTAGGGGGGATCAAACAAATCCCCCAACCCTGTAGGAGAAGAAGGTTTTCACCTTCCCCTCCTCTTCCCGTAGTATACTTGCCCTTCTGTAGGCTCCCAGTATACTACGGGGCCAGATCCTCCTCCGTTGTTGTTGTTCCATTTCTTC